GGAACCCACTTAATGTCACGTCTGTTAATGTCACTTTCCTGTTAATATAACATTTTCTTGAATTACTACAAAATACCAAGGAATCCAGATATGATAGATGCTGTTTCATATATGTGATGCAGATGTCTTTTGACACACATAAATCTTTTTTATTGTACTTTAAGTCAAAGTAAAAATCAATCATTTAGACTGATATCTTTGAAATACTATATACATTTATATATATATATTTATTTTAGTGGAAGTCTCTTTTAGTGAAAGCATTTACCTTGTTTGTGATGTACTGATTTTCGTTTCCATATTTTTTCCCCAATGAAAGCAGCATAGATTGACATTTTAAATTATTTGAAAACTACCAATAAATTGAGTCAGTTTCGCAGCATAACTCTAAACAGTAATAAATGAAACATGTTTTTAGTTGTTTAGCCGATAGCTTGTTATGCATGTTATTTTCTTATAGGTATCTGAGACAAAGTCACATAGTAACTGACCTATTATGAATGCCTTTTGTCCACTCCAGTGTCCATCATATACAATTCACATTTCCATCTTCTGGTTAACCCTGATGGGGCAGGGGTTTAAATTTTACCTTAATGTATACAGGAAATTACATACTTGAGCGCATTTTGTCTCATTTTGATTGAATTTTTTTTTTTATAAGACAGTTTTATGGCATGCACATATTGAGTCTAGATGACTCCATGGGTTGATTGTTGGGGGTTGAATTGACTTAAATTTCAAAATATATTATTCTACAGATCTAGATATCGTAGAATTGAACACTGTTCATGGATCAAAGGGTCTGAAAGAGCTTCACCAAAGTTGTTTATTGTTTACTGAAAATAAAATTCACTGTGAGCCTTAAGGCTCATAAGTACATCAATAACAATGCAATTAAAGGTCATATTGTACAAAACAAGAAAATTATATCCAATTAAAAGAAGTACATACATACTTGTATGGTGTGAAGTTACAGTATAATGCAAAAATATTATTCCAAGGCTGGCGGACTTACATGAGAAATAAGCGAAACATATGCAATATTACAGAATAGTAGATAACATAATTCTCCACAATATATTTTCTCTCTGTAAATATGAGCTTGATGCTGACAGAACATTCTAGATTTTAACATGAGGTTGCCGGCAACAGATACTAATAATAGCACATTGACTTGGATCAAAGCAATGATACTAAGAGTGAGATGAACAGAAAGCCAAACTAGAGTGTAAATATTTACCTAAATTACACAATTCCTTTCTATTAGTAGCTGATAGTAGTGGCACAAGTTAAAAAGAAGATGGGCGGTTCCAGTAGTATTTTTTTATAAACTTTTTGCATAAATTTTAATATAAAGGGCAAATCAATATAAAATGGAATTCATCTTCAACCAAATTTTGATTACAGTAAACACAAAGTCTTCTTTCTCTAGGAATGTTGTAATATAGTCCTTCTACACATTACTGATGAGAAGATAAGCGAAATTTAGATAAAAGACGAAGATAAGGATCTGGATTAGCTTTCGTAAATAATGTTGTAAAGTGCAAGAATCTATCAGGAATTTGTGCAAATAACATTTTCAATAAATTTATTACGCGACTGAAGAAAGTTATCAATAAACCGTTGTTTAAAAAGATGTAAAAATAATTTCTCATTATTAACATAATGACTTGACCAGAATTCCTAAACCAGTACTCAACAGTAATATTTCAACATGGCAATGCCAGTTAAATTTTCTATGATTACAGTAAACCATATCATCACACGCTGACTGTAATATACAATTATTGGTCTTTATTAATTTCAACCAGTACTTCATAATACTGACACTTCCAAGTGATACTCGGTGGTAAACGACCAAGTTCAGAATATAACATATAGGAAGGTGTACATGTTTTAACATTCGAGATTTTTTTCAGAAAATCAGTATGTATTCTTTCTATTTGATCAGCAAATGAGAAACCCCAGACTTTGCAGCTCTAATTTAAAACAGAAGCTACATAAGTGTCAAATACATTCAACTTAGTTTCCATATTTAAATTAAGATTATTACATTTTTCAAAATATTAAACATACATTTACGGCCTTGGTCAGCAATAATAAGTTGAGTTAAAATTCCATAAAAATTCAATGTAACACTAAGATAGCTAAAGCTATCCACAATTTCAATTTCATTGTTTTCAAAGAAAAATTGGTCATCTGCACAAACTCTACCTGCATTTCTAAAGATAACAATTTCAGTTTTTTTCAGTGTTAACTGCCAGCTGCCATTTGTCGCTATACTGTTTTAGGGAATCTTAACATGTTGTGAATTCATGACCTCAGGTTCCAAATGTCGCTCAGTGGAGAGGAAAACGCTAACTATAGTTTGTAGAAAAATTCTATTTTTGAGCAGGATTTGTTGTACTTCAGTTGTAACAGTTGTACTTCAGTGGGAGATAATTCAAATTTTGTTAGAATAATTTTTAAAAATTTACAGAAATTTCAGAAAAGAAATTTTGGACGCAGACATAATATAATGAATATCTTTGAATGGCTGTTTTGAAGTGCTCTCTTGTATGACTCCAGGATCTTGCTATTCCAACTTGTGAGGGGTAAATTAATTACATTTTGTAGAACTCACATGACTATAAAGGCTTTTGGGCCTCTTATTGTTAAAGATTTAAATAATGAACTAGACAATTTTTATACATGGAAATTACATGCAGATGCTAGTTTCATCAATGATTATCATATTGATTTGTATGGGGGGAATAAGGGAATGTCAGATAACACTGAAGAGAGTGTTACTTAAGTCCATATCTGGTGTATCACTACACTAAAGAGAGTGTTACTTAAGTCCATATCTGGTATATCACTACACTAAAGAGAGTGTTACTTAAGTCCATATCTGGCGTATCACTACACTAAAGAGGGCGTTACTGAAGTCCATATCTGGTGTATCACTACACAAAAGAGGGTGTTACTGAAGTCCATATCTGGCGTATCACTACACTAAAGACGGCGTTACTGAAGTCCATATCTGGTGTATCACTACACTAAAGAGAATGTTACTTAAGTCCATATCTGGCGTATCACTACACTAAAGAGAGTGTTACTGAAGTCCATATCTGGTGTATCACTACACTAAAGAGGGCATTACTTAAGTCCATATCTGGTGTATCACTACACTAAAGAGAGCGTTACTTAAGTCCATATCTGGTGTATCACTACACTAAAGAGAGTGTTACTTAAGTCCATATCTGGTGTATCACTACACTAAAGAGGGTGTTACTGAAGTCCATATCTGGCGTATCACTACACTAAAGAGGGCGTTACTTAAGTCCATATCTGGGGTATCACTACACTAAAGAGGGCGTTACTGAAGTCCATATCTGGTGTATCACTACACTAAAGAGAGTGTTACTTAAGTCCATATCTGGTGTATCACTACACTAAAGAGGGTGTTACTGAAGTCCATATCTGGTGTATCACTACACTAAAGAGGGTCTTATATTAATCCATATCTTGTGGACTGCAGTACTGAAAAGATTGTTACATTAATCTTAATTGAGTGTGCAGCTGAAATATCCAATCAGCACTGTTTTTGGTGTTACATGAACCATACGTCCCTACACGAACCTATTTGTCTCACTACTTATGGTATTTATTTTGAATCATCTTACTGTTTTCTGGGATTTTTTTTGTGTATTTCTCCTGACCAGATGGTCTACTTTTAATGCACACTATATTAGTGTACATTATGTCAATTTTTATAGTTTACTTTACTAGCATATATGTTTATTACACTTTGATAGTGTTTTAACTTTTTCTTTTGTGACATTTGTGTGAGATACAAGTGTCCATTATTAATCAGTAACTCTTGATTAACTCTGTGTCTGATATTTCTTCATTAAATAAGAAGTGAACATCATTGTTATGTATATAATGAAATTTGTTATACTTTGTTTGTCTCAATAATAGTGTGTTTTATTGTTTACCATGTGTGACTTTAAATAAAGCTTATTGACTTTGATACAAAATTTACTGATTTCCTAATCCTGTAATCCTATGTATACTAAGGTCGAGACCTGTGTGGCGAGATGGTAAACACATTATAGACAAAAAACAAAACAAAAAAACAGAAGATGGATAAAGAGATCAAAATTTCAAAGAAACTGTTGGTTTGATTCCTTCGGGACCTGAGGAGTGGGGCCCCGGGGGAATGGATAACATTCCTCTGTTGCGAAGTATGGTGTAGAGCATCAATGAGGGAAGTGGGCGCAATATGTATTCACCGTGGGTCAGACATCCTTGGGGCAGAGGGGCGATGCCCAATAAGGAAACAGAGGCAAAGGTTTAAAATCAGCCTATTTGTCTAGTAAACTCAGATTTAAGTCTTTCAGAGGAAAAAGGAGTTATGTATCAAGCCAGCCAATATGTTTTGTGTTTATGGCGGTATCTGTAAAAATACCAACAACACAAGTATTTGTGTGCATTGACATAAAAAAAGTATATACTCTTTTTTGCAGCTGAATGAAACTTTCTTTATCATAAATAAACCACATTACGTCAGATTGATATTATCACGATGTCCGTCGTTTTCGTTTATTGCTTATCAATATCAAAATCATCGATCTCTGCATATATTTATTTTAAAAAGACTAGAAACCGGTATAGTGATTCCGGATTCGTGGAAACTAGTCAATATTTAATTAATCCTTTATTTTTACAGCAATCTCAGGAGCAGAATTCTGGCAAACTCCGAATTAATTTGGTGTCCATATTAGACAGCTTAAAAGCCGAGGAATTTCAGGAAGCTTGAGAGTTTAGCTTTTCGTTACCAGTTCAATAATTCTTTTGTGTTTGATAAGCCTATATATGCTAATTTGGACACGGTCATGAAAACATTATTGGATTTCTGTGTGTAAACAGACAACGTGGTATTTTTTCTTGTAGTATGTAACTTTTTATACTACTTTCATTTTCCGGATTTTCAGATTTTTTTTTTTTTATTACAGGATCGTTATTTTCTTCCTGTTTTGACAACACGTGTTTGCAATAGCCTGAATAGGTAAGACCGGTTTTCAGTGTTACATGCATACAGCATGAGCTCTCTTTCTTAACATACATTTTTCAAAGTTGTACATGTATATAGTGATAGTATGACATGTCAACATATTCCTCGTGGATCCTGTATAATAATGGATATTTAGGTATTTGTTGTAGCCTTGGAAATTACACATTGTAACATGTCTGACTTCGTTCAAATTTGAATCCGTGATAGCATAAATATCCATGTCAAAAGCTAACCACCTTCAGTGTTAATTATAAAAATAATAGTGTTACAATTCAGTTCCACAATATCTGATGAAGTAAACACCACATTTTATTATATGAGTGCATATGGTCGGTTATTTCGCAGGACGCGTCAGTAAACACCCAACTGAGACCCTCTGTGGTTTACCTGGACGGATGTGAACTATAGCCATTTCTTTAGTGGACTAATTTCTCATCGTCTAACTCTATGTCCTATATGATTTCACTCATCACTATAGTCAATATACGAAGAAATCATCTGATTTTGTCAGGTGTGTACGATAAAGACACTCCTGGGTTTGGTTAAACAAATAAAACTGCGAGATCCAGAATTTGAACAACAACTATTATTGTAGCAACAAAAATTTGAAGATTAACAACTGAAAACTCTTGATCAAGGATTTGGAGCGGACGGTACCTGCAACATTAAGTTAATACATCAAACTAAAAAAAAAGAACATCAATGCTTAGAAATTGATTACCCACGGCAGTTTTAAAAAGATATTTTCCTGTACTTGGCCATGCTTATATCCAATTCAAATTTTGAATTCAATTTACTCGTACATTTTTTCTCATGAAAATGTATTACTTACATTTATGAATATTGTATGATGCACATTGTACTAGTTTGCCAACAAGGGCAGGCAACTCTAGTATATTGCGATCCGCGATCCGCACTGAAATATATACAAATCAACGTATAGGTAAGTGACGCTATTACCACACCCCTCATTGTGTGTATCTACTTAATATTCATGTTATTTATCTTATTGCACTGTATAATGTGAACTCATTGCTGTCGTTCCGCTCAATGAACTGTTCGAGTCCTGGGTCAAACACAGATCAGCACCTTATTGTGTTTATTCGGCATTACATCCGCGATATATCAATTAGTCAGATCAATGCTTTGTCGTGATTGGTCAGTATTAATACAACAGGCTCTTGGAATTCCTTTATAATAGTTAAAAAAAACCCAACATCATACAAGTTATCGTATCGTGTTGACTATGTTCTAAAAAAAAGAATTACGTAATATATATATATATAACTATACCAAGAATGAACTAGGAAATTTCAAACTACAATGCAGAGACAGAAATCCAGTTTTCTTGGTGAGTGTTGAATGGATTGTTCTCAAATTTCATATACATTGTACATGAACAACTAATAAATAGATGTAAATTCGAAAGTAGGCACGGTTGTACGAGTCAAGGACTTGATTGACTGCAGACTCTAGTTGGAAACGACAAACATGCAGACTTGTTAGTATAGATAAAGGTTTGGGAAAGGTAATGGGGAATCCCTGGCCACTTTTCTTCATACACTAAACAGAAGGACATTGAAACTGGAATTAATAAAAATCCCATTCATTTTTCATCACAAGGGTATGGTCTGTTTCCTTTTTAAGAAATAAAAAATCCACTTTAACATTTTCTGAAATTTAAATTTCCTTATAAAGTTAATTGGTTAGAGTCGTACTATATATTACACGAGTAATAGCTTAATTAACAGTGGCAAGAGATGAAAAGTTGACAAAGGAGAGAAAGAGTAAGCCATTTTGAATCGCCGCTGCTTGTCCAGATTTAGAAAGAAACATCACTTGCTTCATATCCATTTTATTAGTAGGAGAAAGGTATACTATCTTAACATTAAGACAATGGTATGTTGTATCGCCTTTAACGCCCAGTAAAACACACTGTCCAGTTTTGATAGTGGTTAGCATCAGAAGATTTTTTATCTCGCCTCGATTTCGATTTTCCGTTTTCATTAAATTGTTACAGAAACCTTCCCTGGCTAAAGATAACTAAAACTTGTATAAATGACCCCCAACTCAAACGGTTCTGACGGGTCAAAAAGGGTCAGATTGTTTCAAATTAAAAAAAAATATTCATCTCAACATCCCGATATGATAAAATCCATTGCTCATTGTGAATGGAAGGTGTAAGGTAATCAGTTAAGATTTTAGGGGATACAACTTGATAAAATGACGTTTATTGTAATGGTAGATATACCTACACCCCAATAAAACACGTGTCACCGCACTACTTTTACTACCAGGGTCACTTATAGATACATACTGATGTACTACCGATCCAGATTTTGACAGTTTTCAGGAATGAATAAATCTGTTAGTTAATCCTGTTATAAAACATCATATATGTATACTTATCTTGTAAATGTCATAGGGACCAAAGGGGGGAATATAATGAATTCTTTAAAATCCTACTCCTCTTGTAGGAGTGATTGGATTTCGGCAAGATTTAGTCTGAATAATCTTTGGGCGAAGGGCAGTCAAGCAGTTGAGATACCCACCCCATAACCATATATATAACATTGCTAAACATAAAGAGATAAAGCCATTCATGTAAAAAAGCATTAGCTTAGGGGTCCGGCCCCACCCTCATGGACTTAGTTTCCTTGTTGTATTTATTAAGATTTATTTACGTAGTGCTATTTTTAGTCAATAGATTGAGTTTCAGTTACATTTTATGGGCACACTATAATACTACGTCACAAATATTAAACATATTACTCATGTTTTTTGAAATGACAGCGAAATATTATCATAAAAATTTTTTTTACTGATAATGAAGTGGACAGATTAATCTACATCAAACAGGCAGACGGCTTGACAACTAAGTTCGTGTTTTATGCAAGAGAACTTGATAATTCAAAAGTCATATCAATGAAAATGTTATCAATTTCCACTCAGAGGGGCTCCGCAAAATACGATTTTAATATTTTCAGTTTTTTTCATTCCGTGAACAAAATAAACAGTAAGTTGGTCCCATGCATTTTTACAGTTTACATAAACACTCTCGTATGCATTATCACGTACTGACTTGGATATATTGGTTCATGAATCTTTCATAAAACAAAACTTTGTTCTGCCTAATCGGACACTTGAATGAAGGTAAACAATTTTTTTTAACAAACTGTAACTCCTTATACATATGGTTCGATTCTTAAAGAAAATATGATGTCGAAATATTGACAGAAGTCCAGGTTTTCCTTAGGCTTAAAATCTGTAATATATGACTAAACATTATTGACTTGCCTGTCGAACGGGCAATTTCTAGATGACTTTGTCTTATGAACACTTCAGAAAAGAAAATCGATATTAAAATAACCAAACTGTCTTCAAACAATTTGTTTTCTTTCATTCGTTGTATCCTTTTGTTAAATGTGAGTCGTGTTTCAGAAGATCAGTATATTTTTTTTTGCAGATTTCTGCTGTAACAGCTTCGAATTCAGCCATGGGTCTACATGGGAAATGAAAGCGGAACTATCTGCTATGCATGTCATTTGTTCAGGATTAGAAAACCTCACAAAGGCAAGCCTAAAGTAAAGATAAAAGGCGAGGAGAGAAACGGACGGGTACATTCCATAACAACTTTCTCGCGAATCCTATGGACTGAACAACAAATTTAGAACCGACGTATTTTGCTACGGAAATCTTGTTAGCTTTGTTCACGTGTTGTTAAGTTTGAGATATTTAAAGCTATTTTTTGAGGGGCATTAAAAAGTATTCTGTTGATTGAAATAGAAGATACATTTTACAGTTGAGTGAAAGCTTGATAAATAAGTGCCGTTGACTTGCAATATTATTGACATTGATTTGAAATGCAACAGTTGATCGCATCTGCAGTGAGCTTTGTGCAATATTTTCCATGACACCATTTTATTATGTGACTAATATATAGCCAATACAAAAAAACCTGTGCACTCTTTCTTGAACTGTAACTGTGTGCTGTAGCTGTTTTACCGGTGTGTCGCTTCATACATTGTATCAAGTTAAATATTGTTTGATAGTCTATTCGTATAAAATATCTAGTCATTACTATGAGCGATAAGGATAGCCAAAGTTCCATGAATGTTTTCGGTCCATCATTAACACTGTCCAGCTCTGACCATTTAACCGCAACTTTAGAAAATCTCAGTTTGTCGAGTTCTATTGAAACTCCCGGAGATACACCTGAGTTTGTACATCTTGACCCCTCATGCCACTGTATTCATTGTAAACTGGTTGTTCGGGACGCTTTACAACTCATATGTGGACATCACGTATGCAAACGTTGTTTGAACCCTTTATTTGGCGACCAAGAACATAAACGCTGCCCTGAATTTGAAGACTGCGGTTACGATATCAGCAAAGCCGAAGTAAGTATACTGTGTTCTTTAAGCTTTACTCGATAGATGTCCGTGTGTGCGTTTGTGGGTGTGTTTTGGTGTGTGTTGATGTGTGTGCAAGAAACAAAAACAAAAACCCCAAAAAACCAAGATGTGTTTATGAAACACTATGCCGCAGGTTGCAACAAAATGTCTGCACTGCATGCGCCCCTTGTGAAGCACTATGACTTCCTTTGTGGTAATGTTTTGACAATTTTAGTTCAATAGTTATGGCTAATGTTAAAAATTTTCAAATGCGGGTCAGAGGTCATAGTCAGGGTCACAGTGTAAACAAATTTGGTACCACCAACAACACACTTGACATTCCAAATATGAAAGCCCTACCTCTTACGGTGAAATAGCAGTGAAACGGACAACACAAAACAGTATGCCAGCGATCTTTCGATCCAAGTGCATTTAAAAGAACACCACAAAAAGGTCCTTTTATCGTTTTGATTTCAACATATATTTATTGATTGAGATTGCAACGGATATTTAATGGAATTGGGCACAAGGTCCTTTTTTTACACTGAACATTTTTTACGTACACATTTTCTTTGCCTGCCGTCCTTTCATCCATGTAAAACCCGTACTGGCTTGTTCTCAGAAGCTGATAGTGATATGAGTTGGTCTTTCTCACATTTCGAATGTAGTGTCATTTTTGTTCTTGAAAGTAAATAGTCCATTCAGGTACGTGTTGAAAGACTAGCAACCATATGGATCATGCTTTTCCATATGGTTTAGAAATTATGAGCTATTAGCATTGCGACACTGAAGAATGGAATTGATTTCAAAGTAAAGGTGCAATAGCCATGATTGCGTTTTCAACAAATGTTTCCAATACAAAGGGTTTGTTAATCGCTTCTCTGGGGAAGAAGTAAGGGCTGGTGTAGAGGATGGGGTTTGGCTCTCATATTTAACAAATAAGTACTGTTTGGTCATTCTTGTTATTAAAACACAGCAAAACATATGTTTTCAAGTTGACACGAGTATCGATCATAAAAATGTATTAAAATTAAGATATTAGAAAATATTAATCTGATGCGGTTTAAGGTAATGAATGTATGTTTTGATAGTAGAGGCGTTGTCTTTATCTCGTCAACAACTAACCCTGTTTTATAGCCATCGCTGAGTTTGGGGGTTAAAAAAAAGACAAAAAAAATAAAAGCAAGTCTTTTATTTATCTATATTTTGTCGCCTTCATGTTTTGAATTTGAAATAACACATTGTAAAGTAAAATATGTCGTTTCTATCATGGCTAGTAAGAAAGTGAAAGTCACGTCAATTAACGGAGTATCGTTATTGTAACTTGATGTTTATTTCAGCTTAACAAAACATTATTTCCGAAAAAATGAGTACAATGTTTTAAAGTGACGTAAAGTTATTTCCGGTTTTGTAATCATATTTCTTTTATTTAAGGTTTTTCCAGACACGTATAAGCGACGGGAAGTTTTAAACCAAAAAGTATTCTGTACTTTTAAGTCTCGTGGTTGTGACGCTGTGGTGGCTTGGAAAGATTTAAAGGTATTTCATATTTTCGCCATTAACGCGTTTAAAAATAGTTTCAAAAAATATGTTTTTTAAAGATCGTCAAATTTCTTCAGAATGAGGACATAACATGTAGTTTCACTTGTGGTTTATTAATTTTTTATTGAAAACGATCCGCTACCTTGGTCCGTCCATCCAACCGTCCGTAAATATTTTTTGTTATTGCTGTTTCTTGAGTAATGTATGGATCTTTTTCAAATTGCATATGTAGGTTTCCCGTGATCCTTAGTTGTGCCTGTTTGATTTCTGGACTGATAAACAAAACAAGATGGCCGATATGCAGCCATCGTGCATTTTTGCAATGATGATTGTTATCGCTATTTCTTGAAAGGTAAACGATGGATCTCTCTCAAATTTCATATGCAGGTTTCCCTTGGTCTCTTGATGTGCCCATTTAATTTTGGGACTGACCAGAAATAGAATATGGTCGAAAGGCGGCAATCTTGGATTTTGACTTTAAAAGTTTGTTTTCGCTATTTCCTGAGAAGAACTGGATGAGTCTTTCTTTAATTTCATGTGTGGGTTCCCCTTGTTCCCTAGTTGTGTCCATGATTTTGGGTCTGATAAAAAAATCAGAATGGCCAACAGGTGGCCATCTTTGATTTTGACTTTGAAAGTTTGTTATCACTATTTCTTAAGAAGTACTGAATTGATATTTCTGGAATATCATATGTAGATTTCCTTTTGTCCCTCGTTGTGCCCATTCGATTTTGGGTCTGAGAAAAACAAAATGGCCGAAAGGGCGCCATCTTGGATTTCTTTATTTTGCAAGTTTTTATCACTATTTCTTGAGAAGTACTCTATAGATCTTTTTCAAATTTCATGAATATGTTCATGTAGGTACCTAGTTGTAACTGAGTTTTGGACTGATCAGAAAAAACAAAATGGCCAACAGGCAGCCATCTTGGGTTTTGCCTAGTAAAGATTTTTTTAGCTATTAGCTTAAGGATGTCTCAAATTCCATGCATATGTTCCCTTTGGTCTCTCCTTGTGCTCATTTGATTTTGGGACTGATCAGAAGATTTGGCAGGTGAAGGTTATCATTGCTATTTCTGCAAGGGAATGTTCAAATGTCTTATCATTAAGAGCAAAAACAGCGAAGAGAAAAGAAGGGGAAAGAGCATATAAAGATTAAACAATGGTGGGGGCCAAGATCCCTCTGGGATATCTTATAATTTTTGTGATCATTTATTGAAAATATTCATTTTCATTCAACTTTATTTATTTATCACATTCTGCGATTAAAAGAAAATTTAAAATGTGAAATTTTTTAAAATGTATGTTTGATTTTTTTGAAGAATCATGTTCTCCGATGTATGTTTGCCATTTTCCCGTGTTTGCGAGCTTCCGAAGGATGTACAGCCATACTCACCAGGGATCAATTCGACTCCCACATCAACGGGACATGTGATTTTTTGCCTGTCACATGTGATCACTGTAAAGAGATAACATTGAGGGGTAAATTTATGGTAAGTTTCATAATTGTCCACAATAGGTTTAAGGTATAGAGTGTTATCTGACTCCAGGCAATTCTGGGTTGATACAAAGTTAGAATGGTTAATGATCTTGTTTGTCTCAAAAATTCAAATATTCTCCGTAGCTTAAAGATAGGTAAAATAACACGTATTTTATCAATATTTGATATAATTATTGATAAAATACGTTGACTTTTAAGTCCCCGGGGTTTGTAGTAACTTGCCTGTCGCGTTAAAATTCACTCGAATAGTGGCATGGTCCAGAAAATACGCATGTACTTCACGCTTTTAAAAAAAGATCTGATGTATGAGAATTACAAAATTGATCTAATTATGGGGCCGCTGCACAGTTCCGTTGAGATTAGATTTTTCTTTGGATTTTTCGTAGTCTCTTCCTAGACTTCAGATTTTAGGCCCTTATCATCACTGTCTTGTCCTAGAAGGATGAAACAGATGTATGATGTAGCATTACTGTTTAGTCCTAGAAGGATGAAACGGCTGTATAATGTAGCATCACTGACGAAACCTAGAAGGACGAAAGAGATGTATTATGTAGTTTAATTCATTGTTTGGCTCTACTGTATCTCACTCTACATTATAAAAAAAGTGCTTTTCACTTGTCTGTCTTTTGTATAATACTCCAGATTAAGTTTGTGAGATATTCTTGTATATTGTGTGATGTTTGATATGGTTTTTGTAAGATTTTGTATAGTGCTGATAATGGGACAAATCGCCTTAAAAAGGGTTTTGTTTGCACTGTCAGTATAACTCCTTTGTATAACGATTATAACAAAACCGCCTCCAACGTATCTCGAATTATTGGGATCTGGTGCTCAATATTGGAATATGTCGTTATTATTAACATTAACATTACAAACTAGACCCTGTAATATATATACATATATACTTATATTTGACTTATATCCTGCTCAGGTCCCTCAATCTATGGAACCCAACTGATTAGCCAAGCAAGTGTAAATTATCTTAACATCCAGTTGAACTTGAAACAAATGTTATATATTATCTGAATCTCTCTTTCCATGATAGGTTAGTGCTGGAAAAATCCATCCATTTGAATTGAAGTTATCTTCAAAAATCTCTTGTTAGTTATTTCCAGATTCATACTGGGAAACTTAAATATAACACTTTAAAAACATACTTATACACTTAGGGTTTTGTTCCCTTTTTTAAATCGGTAAAAACTTTGAAGAGGAAAACCTACCTTTCAACTAGTAGATTATTCTATGTCGCACAAAATTATAAGGAAACAATTAGATATGTCAGAATGAAATATTATATAAAATAATTGATTAATATTAGATATTATTGACATGTAATTAACCACAATCAAACAAAAACACGAACTAAGGTTTGTTGCTCTGTTGATATTGGTCCAGCTTGTATCCTTTTCATTAAAAAATAAATTCGCCAGCTGACGGTTCATGTAGCTGATGATTTTATATATTACATTTCATTCAATTCTTCCTGGTGTTTTGAGATATGTTCTTTATATAAGTATTTACTTCCTGTGTTATATCTCCGTTAAATCTGAATACCACACATTATGAATCACGGTAGCTTATCAAGTTCTTATTTCCTATCATATGACATTTCCTGATGTTGTCACGTTGTTCAGTCCTTCTAAAAGTTTGCCTGATAGTACTACTAGCTTTAAGGCATAGAACATTTTGGAAGTTTGGATTAGCAAATGTTTTGAAGGTGAATAGTAACCATAAGGATGGTGAATGGAACAGAATGGAGTACAACTTTTTGGATGGTGAATGGAACAGTAAGGATTAGAACGTTTTGGATGGTGAATGGTACAGTAAGGATTAGAACGTTTTGGATGGTGAATGGTACAGTAAGGATTAGAACGTTTTGGATGGTGAATGGTACAGTAAGGATTAGAACGTTTTAGATGTTGGATGGTGCAGTAAGGTACAGTATGGAGTAGAACGTTTTGGATGGTGAATGGAACAGTAAGGATTAGAACGTTTTGGATGGTGAATGGTACAGTAAGGATCAGAACGTTTTGGATGGTGAATGGTACAGTAAGGATTAGAACGTTTTGGATGGTGAATGGAACAGTGAGGATTAGAACGTTTTGGATGGTGAATGGAACAGTAAGGATTAAAACTTTTAGGATGTTGAATGGTGCAGTAAGATACAGTATGGAGTAGAACGTTTTGGATGGTGAATGGTACAGTAAGGATTAGAACGTTTTGGATGGTGAATGGAACAGTAAGGATTAGAACGTTTTGGATGGTGAATGGAACAGTGAGGATTAGAACGTTTTGGATGGTGAATGGAACAGTAAGGATTAAAACTTTTAGGATGTTGAATGGTGCAGTAAGATACAGTATGGAGTAGAACGTTTTGGATGGTGAATGGTACAGTAAGGATTAGAACGTTTTGGATGGTGAATGGAACAGTAAGGATTAGAACGTTTTGGATGTTGAATGGAACAGTAAGGTATAGTATGGAGTAGAACGTTTTGGATTGTGAATGGAACAGTAAGGATTAGAACGTTTTAGATGGTGAATGGAACAGTAAGGATTAAAACTTTTAGGATGTTGAATGGTACAGTAAGGATTAGAACGTTTTGGATGTTGGATGGTGCAGTAAGGTACATATGGAGTAGAACGTTTTGGATGGTGAATGGAACAGTGAGGATTAGAACGTTTTGGATGGTGAATGGAACAGTAAGGATTAAAACTTTTAGGATGTTGAATGGTGCAGTAAGGTACAGTATGGAGTAGAACGTTTTGGATGGTGAATGGAACAGTGAGGATTAGAACGTTTTGGATGGTGAATGGAACAGTAAGGATTAAAACTTTTAGGATGTTGAATGGTGCAGTAAGATACAGTATGGAGTAGAACGTTTTGGATGGTGAATGGTACAGTAAGGATTAGAACGTTTTGGATGGTGAATGGTACAGTAAGGATTAGAACGTTTTGGATGGTGAATGGAACAGTGAGGATTAGAACGTTTTGGATGGTGAATGGAACAGTAAGGATTAAAACTTTTAGGATGTTGAATGGTGCAGTAAGGTACAGTATGGAGTAGAACGTTTTGGATGGTGAATGGAACAGTGAGGATTAGAACGTTTTGGATGGTGAATGGAACAGTAAGGATTAAAACTTTTAGGATGTTGAATGGTGCAGTAAGATACAGTATGGAGTAGAACGTTTTGGATGGTGAATGGTACAGTAAGGATTAGAACGTTTTGGATGGTGAATGGTACAGTAAGGATTAGAACGTTTTGGATGGTGAATGGAACAGTAAGGATTAAAACTTTTAGGATGTTGAATGGTGCAGTAAGGTACAGTATGGAGTAGAACGTTTTGGATGGTGAATGGAACAGTGAGGATTAGAACGTTTTGGATGGTGAATGGAACAGTAAGGATTAAAACTTTTAGGATGTTGAATGGTGCAGTAAGATACAGTATGGAGTAGAACGTTTTGGATGGTGAATGGTACAGTAAGGATTAGAACGTTTTGGATGTTGGATGGTGCAGTAAGGTACAGTATGGAGTAGAACGTTTTGGATGGTGAATGGTACAGTAAGGATTAGAACGTTTTGGATGGTGAATGGAACAGTAAGGATTAGAACGTTTTGGATGTTGAATGGAACAGTAAGGTATAGTATGGAGTAGAACGTTTTGGATTGTGAATGGAACAGTAAGGATTAGAACGTTTTAGATGGTGAATGGAACAGTAAGGATTAAAACTTTTAGGATGTTGAATGGTACAGTAAGGATTAGAACGTTTTGGATGTTGGATGGTGCAGTAAGGTACATATGGAGTAGAACGTTTTGGATGGTGAATGGAACAGTGAGGATTAGAACGTTTTGGATGGTGAATGGAACAGTAAGGATTAAAACTTTTAGGATGTTGAATGGTGCAGTAAGGTACAGTATGGAGTAGAACGTTTTGGATGGTGAATGGAACAGTGAGGATTAGAACGTTTTGGATGGTGAATGGAACAGTAAGGATTAAAACTTTTAGGATGTTGAATGGTGCAGTAAGATACAGTATGGAGTAGAACGTTTTGGATGGTGAATGGTACAGTAAGGATTAGAACGTTTTGGATGGTGAATGGTACAGTAAGGATTAGAACGTTTTGGATGGTGAATGGAACAGTGAGGATTAGAACGTTTTGGATGGTGAATGGAACAGTAAGGATTAAAACTTTTAGGATGTTGAATGGTGCAGTAAGGTACAGTATGGAGTAGAACGTTTTGGATGGTGAATGGAACAGTGAGGATTAGAACGTTTTGGATGGTGAATGGAACAGTAAGGATTAAAACTTTTAGGATGTTGAATGGTGCAGTAAGATACAGTATGGAGTAGAACGTTTTGGATGGTGAATGGTACAGTAAGGATTAGAACGTTTTGGATGGTGAATGGTACAGTAAGGATTAGAACGTTTTGGATGGTGAATGGAACAGTAAGGATTAAAACTTTTAGGATGTTGAATGGTGCAGTAAGGTACAGTATGGAGTAGAACGTTTTGGATGGTGAATGGAACAGTGAGGATTAGAACGTTTTGGATGGTGAATGGAACAGTAAGGATTAAAACTTTTAGGATGTTGAATGGTGCAGTAAGATACAGTATGGAGTAGAACGTTTTGGATGGTGAATGGTACAGTAAGGATTAGAACGTTTTGGATGGTGAATGGTACAGTAAGGAATAGAACGTTTTGGATGGTGAATGGAACAGTAAGGATTAGAACGTTTTGGATGGTGAATGGTACAGTAAGGATTAGAACGTTTTGGATGGTGAATGGAACACTAAGGATTAGAACGTTTTGGATGGTGAATGGTACAGTAAGGATTAGAACGTTTTGGATGGTGAATGGTACAGTAAGGATTAGAACGTTTTAGATGTTGGATGGTGCATTAAGGTACAGTATGGAGTAGAACGTTTTGGATGGTGAATGGAACAGTAAGGATTAGAACGTTTTGGATGTTGGATGGTACAGTAAGGTACAGTATGGAGTAGAACGTTTTGGATGGTGAATGGAACAGTGAGGATTAGAACGTTTTGGATGGTGAATGGTACAGTAAGGATTAAAACTTTTAGGATGTTGAATGGTGCAGTAAGATACAGTATGGAGTAAAACGTTTTGGATGTTGGATGGTGCAGTAAGGTACAGTATGGAGTAGAACGTTTTGGATGGTGAATGGTGCAGTAAGATACAGTATGGAGTAGAACGTTTTGGATGGTGAATGGTACAGTAAGGATTAGAACTTTTAGGATGTTGAATGGTGCAGTAAGATACAGTATGGAGTAGAACGTTTTGGATGGTGAATGGTACAGTAAGGATTAGAACTTTTAGGATGTTGAATGGTGCAGTAAGGTACAGTATGGAGTAGAACGTTTTGGATGGTGAATGGAACAGTAAGGTACAGTATGGAGTAGAACGTTTTGGATGGTGAATGGTGCAGTAAGGATTAGAACGTTTTGGATGGTGAATGGAACAGTAAGATACAGTATGGAGTAGAACGTTTTGGATGGTGAATGGTACAGTAAGGATTAGAACGTTTAGGATGTTGAATGGTGCAGTAAGGTACAGTATGGAGTAGAACGTTTTGGATGGTGAATGGTACAGTATGGAGTAGAACGTTTTGGATGGTGAATGGAACAGTAAGGATTAGAACGTTTTGGATGGTGAATGGAACTGTAAGGATTGGAACTTTTAGGATGTTGAATGGTGCAGTAAGGATTAGAACGTTTTGGATGTTGAATGGTGCAGTAAGGATTAGAACGTTTAGGATGTTGAATGGTGCAGTAAGGATTAGAACGTTTTGGATGGTGAATGGAACTGTAAGGATTGGAACTTTTAGGATGTTGAATGGTGCAGTAAGGATTAGAACGTTTTGGATGTTGAATGGTGCAGTAAGGATTAGAACGTTTAGGATGTTGAATGGTGCAGTAAGGATTAGAACGTTTAGGATGTTGAATGGTGCAGTAAGGATTAGAACGTTTTGGATGGTGAAATGGGCAGTATAGATTAGATATTTTTAGAAAGTAAGTCGTGTATTAATGGAATATAAATGATGAATCATATATTTATTGAAAAGAATTTTCGGTTGGTAAATCCGTGTTGACAGGATATCTTTCTGCACCGAGTATATGTACCTATGTATCATATATTTGACTTTTAATTGTGTATTTGCAGGCACACATAGAGACGGACTGCCCAAAAGTTATGATACATTGTCCCTATCTTTGTGGAGCACCCGAATTTCCCAGAGAACAGGTAAGCTATTTGAGCAAAGTATTATCTATTTCATGTTGTCATAAGTATGTTTTCTGATTGGGATTTTGATTTGCTTTCAGTTGGAAACTCATGAAGAACAATGTCCAAACAAACCAATTCTGTGTTCATTTTCCTGTATTGGATGCAAATTTAAGGTAAGTGAACAAAATGAATAATGATAACGCCAACAATGAAATCATTAATTTTCGTGGAGATTTTATTTTTGACCAGTTCTTTAGTACTGGTACATTAACAGATTTATATGTCTACGAACTGTTTACAAACAGATTTCTCCATGAAACTAAGTGTCTATGGAATAGTATTCCTAACGATTTTACAGTGAAATGTATTTCGGATTTAAAAATCTATATCGGCTGTACAGCGATGAATACATCAAACCATTTTATTTCATTTCCTGTGAACTGTCAGTATATGTTTTTAGATGATTTTAACTTTCATGCTTTATGAAGCAGGTGAAAAATTTTTACCGAAGGTCATAAAAACTATTTCCTGGATTTCTTGGAGTCCATCAAAATTATCAACTGTTTCAGTATTATATAAGCATTGGATGTTTAAGAAGCACTATATTCTATTGTACAATTTACACGTATTGATATGATATTTCGAGAGTCTTCTTGATGCTTGAAGCATCCAAAGTCGGATGCTGCTTTTCTCAATAGTATTAAGTTATACAGTACTGAGTTGCTGTTGTATCAGCCCCATTGACTTTAAAAAAACACGCAGCTGTCTGTGCAATGGATTTCGGAATGGAATATAGAATCTTTAAGACAAGCATTCATGTATTGAAATAAATGGATGTAAAATATGGTCACAGTTAGACGGTAGTGATTAGCAAGGGGCAGTTCTTTATGTAGGTCACTTGTATCTGCAATTATTTCAATTAACCATTTCATTGTATTGCTTATAGTTCAAAGGCACTGCTTTTTAATGTTTTAATATTTTCCCATAATTTTCACACAAGGGTGTAGAGGAGGTGGTAAAACAACACGAGAAAAATGACATGGCATCCCACTTACTACTGCTTTCTACATACACATCGAAAATGGAGGACCAAAATAAAACAATCAGCGCAGAATTATTGGTAACTATTACACGTCATTTGATTGGAACAGTCTTGGGATAAACGGGAGATTACTTATTAAGCGGAAAATTTGATTAATTTAGATAATTCTAGGAGTTACCAAAAGACAAAATAAAACAATCAGCGCAGAATTATTGGTAACTATTACACGTCATTTGATTAGAACAGTCTTGGGATAAACAGGAGATTACTTATTAAGCGGAAAATTTGATAAATTTAGAGAATTCTGGGAGATACCAAAATATATCACTGACCATTAAAGAATATCCACTCGCTTAAGTAACTTCAGAAAAGATTTATACATGCGAACTGTTCATTTTAATGCCGAAAGTCTTAGGTCTGATTTGTGACTAAAACTGTCTTGTGAGATAACTTTCTGTCTTTTGTTATATCCTAAGAAATATTAAAGTATTTCATATCGCTTTGTAAGGTTGTTTTCAGAACATTTTGCCCAGAAAGATTATGTAGATTCTCCTAGCAAATTTTTGGTATACTTTGCCGTACTATTTTGTTAGGATCTCAAACAGGAAAAGGAGAAATGGCAGCAGCAAGCAATTGAGCTGGAAGGACAGTGCAACGATTTGAAAAAGGAAAATGCAGCAGCCAAAAAATCAGCAAATGAACTAAGGGTAAATTAATGATTAAATGTAGTCTTCCGATCACTAGGCGTTATATTTTAGTCGCGCTTGGCCCAACAAGACACTACAAGTAGTTATATAGACAACAAAACACTTCAAGAAACCTTCCCTGGCCTAAGATAAACCAAAATAGTGACTTATATGGTTCCCAACCCACAGGAACCTAAGGAGCAGGGCCGAAAGGGGTCTTATTGACTAGAGATTTCAAAAATGTTCTTAACAACTCCCATATATGGTAGAATCTAAATTGATATTTCTTATGGATGGAAGTATCTTAAGGTGAATTTCATGGCCCGAGGATTTCAAATTTCCCCATGTGGAGGAGGTTAAGTTTACTATAGTTTATATGGTTAAACTAGATTTTTAAGCATAATTTGTTTGATTTCCATTGGAAATATTTCAGACTCATGGGTCAAATTGACTCGGATTTCAAAAATCTCAACATCCACATACGATAGAATCAATTGCTCTTCATTGGTGAAGTTATCTTAAAGTGCTTTACCAAATTGTGAATTTCATGGCCCCATGATCTCCCATTTCCATGTTGGGAAGGGTAACGTTTACTGTATTTATATAAGCAAATAGGTTTTTGAGCACAAATTGTTTAAATTTCAATTGAAAATATTTCAAACTTGGTTAGAATTATGAGCAAGTGATAATGACTAGATGGTATGCATATATTGATCCCGACTGACCCCCAGGGGCTGATGGGAGGGACCAAAAGGAATCAAATTGACTTAAAATTAAAAATTCTTCTCAACACCCAGGTATGATAGAATCAAATACTCTTCAAGGATGGAAGCCTTAAGGTGATGAAAATGGGTCTCACATTCCTTCATGGGAAGGAGGTTTACTTTACTGTATGTTTTATAGAAAAATTGCGTTTTGGCGTAACATTGTTTATTTCCCATTGGAAAAAAACTTTGTAAGAATTATTAGTAAAGGATGACAGTTTTGATGGTTTGCAGGTATTGACACTAGCTTTTGTTTGGAATCATTGGGACCATTGTCGATGGTACTTTATTGCACAAGGAGGAAACACAGATTATTTTTATTAAGGAGTTATCGTACAAATTGACTACTGTGACTGTCAGAGTTCATTTTTCCAGATGAATATTTTCAGGAGCTGTGAGTGGCACAACATTGGTTGTCTTGATACATTTTGTACATGTTCTGTCAATTTAATCATTTAATGTAATAACCACTTACTGTTTCAATAATAATTTTTTGATTTCTCTTATCAGCTTATGATTGCCTCCCAAGGAGAGCGTGGGATTAACCTAGAGAGGAAAATAGAGGACAAAGCGTCAAAGACTGTCGCAGATAAGCTTGTTCGGGATGTTACTGCCATCAGAGAGACTAACCAATCATTAGGCGCAAGGATTACCAACCTGGAGAGGGCCGGACCAATTGTTGGGGAAGTGATGGGACCGGGTGAGCAAGCATGAGTAAACTAGAGTAGATGGTTTGTTGGTTCATTGGTTAAAAGGTCTTATGTCTCCATGACTCGGCCCTATTTCTTGGTCTCGTCGACGAATGTCAGTGTTATGGCGACGTGAGGGAACAATCTAAATCTGCCTCATGGGGTGGAGCTGTCTGTGGCGATGTCAGAATGCTGATCAGTTTTAAAGTGACGGCTCCTACCTAGAGTCGATACAAATGTTCATACTGATACCGAGCTGAATTCAGTTTGGTCGGCAGTATTGTTCAAAACTTTGTTTGACTGATGGGCCCATTATTACCAATAGAAACTACATAGTGTGTTTTGAAAGGTATCATGATTATTTTGAAGACGAGCTTGCTCAGGACAGTTTCTCTTAATGTGAACATTTGTTTTTACACTAAGCCTTATCTATGATACGGTACACTATTGTCTTGTCAACTTCCACTGTTAAGCAAGGATCGTGAAACCTGATATAAACATTGGTCATACAAAGGCGTTGTGTAGCGTACCAAATTCAGGGCCGGTGACCTATTAATTACAGATTTAATATCCTATTGAAACCGTTTTTCCAGATCATATCTTTGCTTTCATTTATGCTAGGATAATATACCTTGGTGTATATATTGATCATACTAAGAGGGTGTGCAGTGTACCAAATTTAGTGCCGGCAACCTGATAATTACAGAGATTTAGATCGCTTTCATTTAAATTAGGATGATTTAACTAGGTGTATATATTGGTCATACTTAGATGATGTCATTTTTTAAAAATTTTGTGTCCAATGAAGTTGTTGCCGGAGAGCGTTCATCAGATTCACTGATACTCTTTACATTACAGCTCAAGTGAACAACAAACTAAGACACTTGGATAAACAGTACACACTTCACGATGTCAGACTAGCGGAACTTGATCTTCGTTTTCAAATCTTGGAGACAGCAAACTTCGAAGGAGTTCTTATGTGGAAGATCCGAGACTATAATCGTCGGCGACAAGAAGCTGTAAATGGCAGGACTTTATCGCTATTCAGTCAGCCTTTCTATACAGGTCGCCATGGATACAAAATGTGCGGACGTGTTTACCTAAATGGGGACGGCACGGGGAAAGAAACGCATTTGTCCTTCTTTTTCGTGATAATGAAAGGCGACTACGATGCGTTGTTACCGTGGCCGTTTAAACAGCGAGTGTCTCTGATGTTGAAGGATCAGGATACAAGGACCCAGGATATTTGCGATACCTTTACACCGAACGCCGTCAGTAACAGTTTCAAGCGGCCTGAGACAGAGATGAACGTCGCGTCTGGTGTTCCCAAGTTCATTGCTCACAACCGTCTTGAAACACCAACGTATGTACAGGACGATACAATTTACCTAATGATAAAAGTAGACACGTCTAACATCCCAAATCATCCGAATCCGTGAAATTTCTTGTGTGTTTTTTGTGGCACTTTAAACCTCAATATACGCATCATCTGGCGTATTTATAATATATACCAACGCATTATATCGTCTTGGATATTTTCAGATGTCATTTCTCTTCGCTTTTTCAGTGAAAGTTGCGTATATTGGGGTTTTAAAATTCCGGGAAAAACTATCGTGAAGTCGGATTCACCGATTCACCACCGAATGAATCCTTAAAGAGGAGATAAACCGTTACTTTATGTTGTTATCACCTCCGGTAATCGGAATTCGATTTCCTTTCGATTCTAACACCAATGTATACCAATTTGAAACAGGTAACTAGATACATTAAGCGGTTTTAATATTGATGATTTGGACGATGGATGAAAGATTTTTTAAAATGTTAGCTGTGAGATGCTTCATACAATAGATTACTGATCGCCTGTTTCAACTAAACTAAGAACTCTTGTCCTGCGACTGACCTCAGACTAATGTTCCACGATTGCCCTTTCATCATCCTGTCCATGACAAATATTGCCTGATGTCTCTTATTATAAAATGTAACCCACTCTATGAGGCAAAATGGATGGATATCAATTAGAAACTGCGTTATATCAACACGATGAATGTCGGTGAGTATCCTGTGCAGATGTGAATATGATGTTATAATAACATATATAGATACGTTTTTTACAAATCTGTTTTGAAACTTTTGTTATAGTTCAGATGTATCATATTTATGGCTACTATTTTCTTTTTGTAAGTATTGTGCATTGTACATGTAATGAGAAAAAACGAGTGTAAAATTGTAGAATGACTGCATATTGTTCACGTGTGCCTTTGTATGTGATGATCATGATGATTGCTTCTGCGTTCTGCGTGAAATAAACCAATTAAAGTAAAATTATTAATCAATTATTGATAATGACACCACATGACAACTATTAGACAAGTATTATCAGAGACACTTCAGGATAGGATTAGTAGTAACGAGTCTTTAAACGTTTTAATAGTAAAATGAAATTAAAACATTATTTTCTTTGTATTGACTAGAAGTAAATAGTTCAAAACACAATATCAGAATGAATATTCAAACATTACAAGTATTTCATGCACTTCCGTCGAATTCTTTATGGAGTTATTCTTTATGTATTACGCCTTTCTGTCAACAAGTAGTTGGTTGAAACTTTTGAGCGTGTTTCTTCAAAGGCATGCAATTAAAACGACGTAAATTTTTTAGGTTCGACTCTACTTTTGTGGGGCAACATCTATATAGAGTACCGCGGCGTCCGTCGTTTATCAAGTTTATTTACAAAACGCTACTAGTCGTGAACGACTGAGGGGATTCTGACCAAATTTCGGTAGAAGAATCCTTTGAGGAATGGGAACATATTTTGTACAAATGACATGTCCCGGCCTCCAAGGGCCTGAGGGGCGGAGCCCAAATGGGAAATTTTGCTAGTTCTTTAAAATCCTACTCCTCTTGCAGGAATGATTAGATTTTGTCAAAATTTGGTCAGAAGCATACTTGAGTAAAGAGAAATCAATTCTGTATAAACGGTGGATCTCGGCCTCTAGAGGCATGAGGGGAGGGGCTCAATAGCGAAAATATGTTTGAATTTGAAGACAGTTTAGATCCCCATTCCATAATCATGTATAGCATGGTGGGCATGAAGAGATAACACAATCATGATGTAAGAATTTGCCCCGGGGTCTGGCCACACCCCAAAGGACTTGTTTTCATGGTAATATCTTTGAAACAGCTGAGATCCCCACCCCAAATTCATATATGGCAATGTTGTGCATCAAGAGATAAACGCATTCACAGTGTAAGTACTGGCCCTTAGATGTGGTCCCACCTCTCTGGACCTTATTCTGGGTGATATCTTTGAAACAGAATTGGTATTGATTACAAAGGTGCATTGTACCAAGAATTGAATCCTAAAGTAATGATAGAAAAATGAAAAAAAAAAAAAGATAACCTGACAGCTGTTCGTTACTTCTTAGTTGGAGACGTAAATACAAGAAACAGGATGAGACGTGTGATACGAGTCGTGTATAATGCTTGATCGAAATAAAGATGGCAGTAACACATGTACCTTCAATACAAATGTAATCTTTATAACGTTTGCTTCCAGAATACATTTGTATTATACTAGTAATTTACTCAAATGGCTTCTGGATTCTTATGCCAATATGCCCACCAGCCAGAACAGTAGGCAGATGTTCTGGAATACGAGGAATGTGTAAATTGTAGACCAGTGGGAATCACACGACTGCTCACGTTGATTGCATAGAAATTGGTTTCTCATAAGACACATCGGCAAAATTGCGTGTATGGTCAACAATTTGAAAAAAAAAAGAAATATCTCTTATAAAACCATCTACATTCTAGAGATCACATCTGAACATTTGTTTCTGAAGTCCAACCATGTCTTGGCAAAGGTTTGTACAAAGGGCAAGAAGGCGATGGGGCCTTTCTATACATATTTAGAACTAGCCGTTTCGTCATCCAGGCGACTCGTCAGTGGTATTAATTATGATCTTGAATGTTGAATCTAGTCTTTGATCGCCCCAATTTAGCATTCCCACAAGGAAGATTAGAATAAGATACAAAGAAGACAAATAATGAGTCTGGCTGCATCATACAGCCGTTTTGTCAATTTGGGACACGTCAATCATTCAACAAGACTTTTAACACACTTTTCAGGACCCTGGGCCGACCTCATTTCGAATATGCATCGTCAAAAGAAAGAGTTTATGCAATCTGATAACGAAAGACGATTATTGTCCCCGAATGTCAAAATTCAGTCATTAAGAGGGGATACTTGCAGTTGGCCTGTTAATATTAGAGAATCAAGACTCCGAATGAATGTAAAACATACAATATACTAGCTGTTCATCATGTACCCGAAATACAGGATAAGAGAAAATTGCATAAAGAACTACCCCGGAATGTCGCGGAAGACATTTGGAACCGCCTTCACGAAGGTAACACAGTAAAATTTAAACTCGAGGTAAACAAGTAATTGATAAATCACTATCTGATGCTGATGATCATGTTTTCAATGATCGGTATGGATATCATTTCTTCATTAACCTTAATGCTAATGTAGAAATATACTGCATTATTAGTAATATTCAAAGGGGAATACTTTCGGTACATTCGCGGTCAACAAAGATAGCGTGAAAATAAATAACCAGCCAATATTAAGCATAAACCAAAATATAATGAAATCTCTGTTACATACCCTGTATACACGGATAGCAATGTATAGATATGCACGAAAATAAATCGGCGCGAAATTGTCCAAACAAGAACAACCGCGATATATCAGCCCCGCTAAACCTAACAACTATGAAGTATACCTTTTGTCTTTTCAATGGACCTGTACATTTAAATCATTATCTGCTATCAACATATGCTAATCGAGTCTATGCAGGTGTCAATCTTCAATTGCTATTTGTGAATTTATTTAGGCACTGATGCTGCCGTCTGTTGGTTTATATCACAGTCACTTCAATTTCATTTTCGTTTGTACTCATTGTATTACGTTATGTAAAAAGAAAGTGGCCGTTTCGCGTTCAGGTTCCGTCCTGAATACCACGAAAATTATATGCGCACGAAATAAACTGCTTTTACGGTAGTTTTAAAACAGATAATTGCGGAATACATTAATTTCTAGATAATGTGGTTCCAGTTCTCACCCTATGTACTTTATCTTGTCCATCACAAAACCATGTGCTTTAGAGAGTGTCAGTTTTCTGTCAGCTCATCGCTTTTAAACAGACTGCATTACACTGGCATGTATCGCGGGCGCACTCTGGTGACTATCGAAGGGGGTTGTGGACATTTGGTGTGTACAGAAGACCGGCGACGAAGGAGAAAGGCTTGCCTTATCATTAACAGGGTTTACTCCATTCCTAGGTCATGCATGTTCTGGCACGCGTCATCCTGTGCACGTGTCGAATTCTTGAACACCCGTCAATAATCCATCTGTAGTATCCGCTCACCAAATATTGCATAATGTTCAATAAATAAAGTGCAATTAATGTAAATATTGACTTCAAATAATGAGAGTGAAAATGATGTTGACAATTCATATCTGTATAGGGTTCCCGTGTATTACATTTTTTTTTATTATTTCAGTAGTTTTGTCGGAATTCTAGAATTCTTATTTTGGCCCACCGTCACCAGATAGTGGGCTATTTAACAGGACCTACGTCAGTGGTTCTTGGTCCAGTGCTCGTTGGTCCTTACTTGTGCCATTTCAGACTGGCCATAAATACAAAATGGCCTCCATTGATTTTGACAATGGAAGAAAGTAATTACTAACTCTTGAGAAATACCTCATGCTCATCCTCAAATTTCATTTACAGGTTCCCATTTTGTCCATAGTAGTGCCCTTTGGATTTTGGAGACTGACCAGGAAAACAAGCGGCTAACAGGTGGCCATCTTGGATTTTGACCATGTGAGTTTCTTAAAGCTATTCTTTTAGAAGTATAGGGCGGATATTTCTCCAATTTTTATTGGAGTTGAATTGATCCGAAAAACAATATGGCCGACAGGCGCCAATCTTGAGTTTGGAAGTTAAAGATTACTATCACTATTTTTAAGAGATATCCTCAAATTTCATATAAAAAAGAGGAACAGTAGAAGTAACATGAGAAAAGAAGCGAAAAGATCCAATTTTTTAACAACAAATAAAGTAAAGACCTCTGGGATATATAACTTTTAATATATTGTACACTGAATCAGAATCAAAACATCTTTCTCCATACACATTTATAAACACAATAATTCAATATTGAAATTTTGTAGTGAATTCAACTCTCTGGAATGCGTTCATTTATCCATGACTTCAATGAGAGTAACTCGGTTTTGTTTAATTCGTGGTGTATAGGGTATTTCGTTAACGTGCCTTGGACTCCAACTGAAGAGAGTTGAGTGAATGTGTTTTCAGCCCACACCGGAAGTGCAAGGTCGTCCTTTTCACCTTGACAGTAAAACAATGGTGGTAAGGGGGAAAGGTCGGGACGGGCTTCCAACTCCTAAAAAAGAAACCAAAATACTTCGTGTGGAATCATTTGATATATGCAGAGTACAAGTATTATGTGTCGGCTTTAACTTAAATATGTATCCATGCTCTGCATGGCCCATTTTATACCGATGTTCCCGGTAATATACTCTAATAGTGGTTGCCAAGGAAACATGTTATATATCAGCAGGATTAATTGTCCGCAATGAGTACCAGACTGAAGTTGTTGTAATAATTCAAACGTTGACTTCGAAATATTTACCTTGAACACAGCAGACCCGTTGTTTAGAAAAGAGGAAAGCGCGAACACGCCTGCAACGTCACGATGAAATCTGTAGCTTAGATGTAACGCCATAGCCCCGCCCATTGAAAAACCACCTGGAAGATCAAACAGGATTTTACAAAAAGTCTACCTGTATGTATTTACATACATACCCTTTTTCTCTTGAATGATTTGATTGGACAAGACGCAGACGCCCGGATACTTTTGCGATATTATTTATTTGTAGATATACTGAATTTTCAATTTATTGATTAATATCATGTGTCAAAATTTACATGATTACACAATCATTTAAAGCAATGACGGTGTAATCGGGATTATTGATGAAAATCAGTCTTCAAAAAAAAAAAAGAGAGAAAACTTAGCAATAATAGTATCCCTGTATCCCTTACAAATATGTCTATCCTCGTCGCCATTGTGGTAATTCACAATATACAGATCACACCGATAACAGGCCGTAGTGTCCGTTTCTATAGCTTGATCAATGTTTGCTACGGTGAGTGTTGTGACCTTCTGTCGATCAACACCTATCATCACAACACTGTTTTCATTTAACGTTAATTTTATATGAATTGGTAAATTAAGTAAGGCCCGTGGTCAATATCACACAGCCTTGATAAAGTTATGGCAAAAACAACAAGAATATACCACAAAGTCAACAGAATCATAATCCAAACTCAAACTAAATACCCCAATACGGCACGATATGAGCAAAAGAAAAAAATACGTGGAGGCTCCTGAAAAGGTACAAGGAGTAGGCGTCTTGTGCTTCATCGGCGACACCTGCCATGTAAATCTTTGCAAGTAAGTAATGTCACGTTTTCAAAATAAGAACATGGTAGAAAACAACGGAAACAACAGGCAAACTAACGAACGTCAAACACGTCCAGCATCATATCGAACTAAGATATAAAAAAATCTCAATTAGATAATTATGATGACTGTAAAAAATTACCATAACTTTCAACCCAAATCTCTTGAACTCCTGTGTTATGAGTTTGTCTGTCAGTTGCGGATATCTTGCACGAAAATCGCTGTATTGGAAACAGGTCCTTGAGTATGAAATCAACTGCGACATGTTAACACCATAGAATGATGATTGCAGGGAGGTTGCTATCAAGACATGGACATTTCACAATTGGGAAATTGAAACATCATGCTTATTATACAGTTTGATGGAAAGCTGTGCATGTCAGTTTCAAAATTGGGATGAGCTGTTGATACAGAAGAGTCTGGGTATATAGGAGTGAAGTGGTCAATAAATCTCTTATTTAAAGACAATACAATGGTATTGCATGATAAAATCGCCCATAATGGTTTCGGCATCCTTGGGTAGCTGAAGCGAGCACTTAATTATACCAACCTATGACAATTCTTGACTTTGGGATACCGCTAGACACTTCCTGTTGGATAAGGGCCGATAGACTAGCGCACATAGCCTCCACCGACTGCGCATGTTCCGGTACATTAGGAGATATCTGCATGCGATCGAACCAAACGTTACTCATGGCGCCACCCATCGGAGTATATGGTCTGGGGGAAGATACAGAGATATTATGAATCATGTGTTTTTACAAAGAAAAATAACGTAATAGCCGTCCGGAGTTTGATTCCCGGAATTGCCGTGAAAAGGTATGGGTCACCTGCTCAACCACGTGGGTTTTCACGGGGGACTCCTGTTTCCTCCCAAGGCAAGACCCGCCGCGCTTACATCCGGGTCAACATCAGTGATTGATATAAGTTGAAATAACTTGTTGTAAAATAAATAAAGTTTACATGTAAGAGTTTTGTTAATAACTGCGTTAATAGTTTATAATAAACAAAATACTGAATGAATTTAAGTATGTTGTAACTCAACTCGCCCAGTAATAAAGAGGAATTACGGTACATCCTCGATACTCCATGGGTTACGATCACTTTTCGCTCTCTGCACCCCGGAACATATGACAAAATTGAAGACATAGCCGGAATAATTTGATTGGTTCCAGGAGAAAAAAAAAGACAAATTACATATTGATACGCTCCATAAAAAGGAGCGACACCCAGCTTCAAAGCAAGTACCATATAGCGAAAGTCATTTGATGTACATGAAAGCATCGGACTAGTCTTTTCGTCTTGTTCAGTTTTTTCAATTTTGCCACGACATATATATTTTGTGTTTTATTCATTCTGAGACATGCGATAAATACATTGAAACTATTTTGTGGCAGAAAGTTACCAATTCCCGTGCTGTAATAACAAGTGTTCGCGAAAACGTTAACACTTGCGTCAAAGCAATTGTTCCATTTAATTCTTAAATGTCCGCCTGAAACTTCCTTGAGATAGTTGGTGGTTCCCACACTGAACAACATTCGGAAAGCCCGTCGAATGTCATGAAGGTCAATAAGGGTATAGTGTCTTGCCCAAGGACACAACAACATCGGCAAAGACCGCTCCATTTCTTCCCCAGAAATACTAACTGCATTCGGTAGGGAGCGTCGAGTTATGCACATCGGGCCTTCGTATGAGGTTGATAGGCTAGGAGCTCAAGCCTTCCCTCTAGGTCAGAGTTTACGGAGTTGATGTATTATTCATAGTGCGACTGTACCGTGTTTATGCATACTGACCTGGCGGGAGCTGTTGGGTACAACACCTTCGCGTGAGGGAAATGAAACTCTCCCTTGGATGCCATTTTTACCCAATCTGAAACGCCTTCTCCTGTATCACCTTCATGAATGAATAAATACATAAAAGGACTTTTAAAAATATAAAATATATGAGCATACAAATAAAAAATACACAAACAAGAGACGAATATTTATTGATTATATAAAAGTTTAAGGTTTGGTCAACATTAAAAATATGTTTGTTTCCAATTTACCGAACCAAGCAACAAATGTTACATAAGGAAATATTTTTCCACTCTGATCAAGAGAGTGTTTATCTGTGCATTTAATAAACCAATATGACTGCATGTTAATTGTAAAACAAAACGTTGATGCGAATTTACTTCAGTTCTTTGCTAGTAGAAAAAGAATGAAGAGAAATTCACAGAAATTATTTGTTGTTTTTTTATTTTTCATTTTTTAAAATTCAAATTGGTTCATCTCCGACTTTATACAGGACGAATTCATGTTGTACTAGTGTAAGTCTGGAAATATGGTTGTATGACCAAGTTAATTTTTCAAACTGTTATATTACACTTTTATAATGTATGCAGTTCTTTGTAGTGTAGTGTAGTTTGTACCATTGTAGCATTGATAAATGATAAAGCACCATGGGAATTGAAACCTTTCCATTCATAATTTTATAATGTATGCAGTTCTTTGTAGTGTAGTGTAGTTTGTACCATTGTAGCATTGATAAATGATAAAGCACCATGGGAATTGAAACCTTTCCATTCATAATGAGTTTTCGATTCCACAGTAATTACGGTATATACATATGCCGATCTTGAGAAAATAAAATTATGAAATATAAGCCAAACGACATCAGATCAGAATTGTGACCTAAACAATCAAAACCAAAATGGCCCCTAGCGGCCATCTTACATGTAGATGTAATGAAGTTCTTTATAATATATAAGCGTATCACTTAATCTAGAAATATTACATGATATCAAAATAACAGAGTATAAATCTGGATTTCTACTTTCTAGTCTGAGTAAGTTAGCTTCTATCAGAGCATACTAAGCGACAAGTTCCGTATTATTGCATGTAGTTCGTGGAGTCGTTTCTCGTTTTATAAACACCCTTGTAAGTTATAAGTTTGCTGACGTAAAAAAAGATAAGACGCTTTATATGTATTGTCGATCGTGTCGATTGGGGATGTTAACTTACCAGATCCATGTAGAAACAAAACCACAGCACTACACACTGGTCCTGTCTGTTTGACAATACGTGGGTAGAGAACAGATGCTGCCATGCTCGATGTTTGTTTTGGACAAATCGGTCAAAAGGGAGGGCTTCGTAAGTTGCAAATAAAGTTGTAAAATTTCTCAGACTTATTCCAACTGTGTTTCTATCGTTTTATTTTTTATATGTTTAGAACAATGGATTACTATATATTATGGTAAATATACATTTTTTTTAATTCAAAATAACTCGACTGGTAATAACGGAAAACAATTGCTCCTGGAATTTCCAAAATAAAAAACTGTAGTCGGTGACACATTTCCGGATTTTCTTATTAAAGATAAAACCTAGAAAATAGTCTTTTCATTTCATTTAAGATGATAAAACACACATTCGGTACATTTTAACGTGTGAATAAACAAAACATATAATCTCTAAACTGTTAATGTGTTTATTTTTAAGGAAATATTCAAAATTGAAAAGTATACACTATCAATAACGCAACTCTACATAGAAAAAACTTACATGTAGTGTGTCGTAAATGACGTTCCTGCAGGCGTTTTGATGATTTGATAAGTGCCACGTTTTGTAGACACGTTTTTCTATATTATAACATTTACGTAGCGTTCTATAAAATTGTAAATTGTTTAATGTAAATACTAGATATGTAAATCATTCTAATATTAAATGCTCAGCTCTGCAAGTTTATAGTTTTTAAATTTTTTGTTTTGAAAATAGCTGTTCTGGTGTTGATTTTCAAAATTCTAACCTAAGCAGACAAAAATGGCCTAATGAAGACTCAAAACCTCATCAACTCATATCGTGGTAGAAAAATTAGTTTTCAATACACTGTATATATCGTACGAACGCACGTATGAAAGATAATTCATGATATAACCTTCACTTCCTACGGTATCAAATTAGATCATATTTGAATTTTCTTTGAGCCCAGTCGCATCGTTCCGTGCTGGCAACGCGGGCTTAAAGCGTGAAGAAATTTTGAACGCTGATATATTTCTGTACGCTATACAATGTGTATGGACATTGCCTTTTGGATGCGTGGGACATACGTAGTACTTGTTTCATGTGACCTCTGTGTCATACGGATGGATGAGGTCCTCATTTGGTTGGCTGAAAGGGCGTTAAAACAAGATGTTCATAGACTGGGCATTTCAAATATTTTTGGTAGGGCAAGACCAATGGGTAAATTCTTATATCATGATTGTCTTACTCTTTTGATGCCCAGTAAGAGTTTATATGGTCACCGGGTTGGGATCTCAACTGATACAAAGATATCTCGTTTCTCCCATTGAACCACTCCCCTCCTACCCTATAGGACCAAAACCCACCATTTATACAAAATTGATTCCCCTTCATCCAAAAACGCTTTGGCCAAATTTGGACAAATTCCTATAAATTTGCTCTGTTTCCAAATATTCCCACCCCAACCCTCTTCACCTCAAGCTCTTGGGGGACCACCGTTTATACAAAATTGGTTTCCCTTCACCCAAACATGTTTCAGACTAAATTTGGACACGATCCTCTCATTCCTATGAATTTTAAAGAAATTGCTTTATTTCCCATATTTGGCCCCCGCGGCCAAGACCCACCGTTTATACAAAATTGATTCACCCAAAGATGCTTAAAATGAAATTTGGGGAAAATCCTATTATTCATTCCTACAAGAGGACACTGATTTATAATAACTTGTAAAATTTCCTTAGGCCCACGACCTTCTCTTTTTCCTTCGTCTATGTTAAATTTGCTCCCTTCCTCCCAAGGATGCTCCTGGCCAAATTTGGTCAAACTCCCCTAGTTGTTCATGACTAGTAGCTTTTTGTACAAAAAGTTGATAACGGACAACAGATGTAGTAGTGCCCTTCTGGCCAGGTGAGCTGACAAAACTTGTGCCGAGATGGTGCATACATGTACAGGTAATGTATGACTTAAATACGCGATTTTATAGAACAAGGAATAGTTATTGGAACTTAGATTTTGTATATAAAGCCTAAATAATGCATAAATGTGACATATCCGGGGCGGCATTTGTAGGGTCATACATAATTATTGAAGAAAAATCCAATACACAAGTGAACAAAGGGCAGTAACTCTTAAAATGACACTTAACCTTTCAAGTTTCTTTGATAGTCGGAGCAAGGCAAGATAGTGGCTGGATTATGTTTTGTATGAAAGCTGAACTTGACATTTCCTGTGATCTAGTTGAATAAGCAATATTCTCTGATGATTGACGTAACTACCCAAATTAGAAAATTTCCCATTAATTTTCTTTCATATCAAAATACAAACAGCCAGGGAATAGAAGTTTGAGCACAATGTAGTGGACACGCAAGTACTAGTTGCAATACCCATTTGGTTATCTTGCTCTTTCAGGAATAATCTTCATGAAAGTATAGAACTTCAGGTTGCAGAATTTTTGGAGGCCATTGGAAAGCACTTTACAGCTAGTACAATGTCACATTCATGACTATTAGTGCTTTTTTAAAAATAGTAGTCTGCCTCTGCCACTTTCACGATACCATCGATATTTTGCACGAGGATACAGGTATCGTATCGTCACTTGTGTATTGCGATACCATAAAATTGGTGGTGTGCAACCTAAATCTTTTATTTAGAAGAGTTTTTTTTTGTGATTTATTCTAATTGAACTCTGTGATACGTATTCTGATATCAACGTATCGTGACTTTGTATCATCAGATTGATGACAATACACAGCATTATTTCACATGTACACGACAGTAAAAAGATAAACTACAATGTATTTGAGAATGTCCAACAGATTTATTTGTCTTCTGGTTTATTAAATACAAAAGTGAGGCAACACTTTCCACAGTACTGTCGGTCAAAGTGGGAGGCCATGAAAACACCAGCACCGCAGTCATCGTTGGGACACTCTCGTCGCAGACGTGTGATCTTTCCGTTCTCATCAACCTGTAATCATACAATGTCAATATTCTAATCAGTTATCACTAATCTTAACATTAACCAGAAAATAATCATTCTCATTACTATAATGCTGCAAAACTCCAACTAAATATTGTAAATTAAAGACCCTACAATTTCATATAACTACTTTTGATGTAATACTGCTCAGTGGAGGTAACGCTTAGGGTTTGAGATCACAAATGATCATAGGTGTCCTAAATTCTCATCACAGCAGTCAATTGCAGTTAAATTACAGGGTTAAAACTTCACAAACTTAATTTAAGTGTTCGAAGATACTATAAAACACTGCATCTTGCTAGTACAGAAGTAGACTATAACGGTGTCCACTGATGGGAGACTTTTCAGCAATGATCTTTGATTTTTACCTAACCTACCTACAATATTGGTGACTTTGTCTTCTCATTTACTTATGCACAGCTATCTACAAGAGTTTTTGCCTATGACCCCCACCAAAACAAAATTACACCTATATATACTGCTCAGTAGAGGTAACGCTTAGGGTTTGAGATCACGACTGATCATAGGTGTCCTAAGTTCTCATCACAGCAGTCAGTCATCAAGACATTTAAGCTCTTTTTCCAAGATGAGGGCAGTAAAATGAGCAATTTCAATCTAGGTAGAGATAATATCTACTATGATAAAGAACTCTTGAAATTAAATTTGACATACAGGACTACACTATGAAATAGGAATGAGAGACAAAGTCTAAAAAAGGATTATTGATACATAACAAATTTTATTGTGGAAAATATAAGTAGAGGAACTTGTATCGTTTACCTACTTCTTTATAGAATGATGAAACAAATTCACATATTTTTTTCAATTTACCAAGCCTCTTGCAAGTTTTAATAGAAATAAGTTACGAGAAGTTAAATTGATACCATATACAATAGGAAAAAATACAAGATTCTGTTAATCATTTAACTTCAATATTTTTGCAATAAATCCTGATAATATATTGGGCATCAGCAATTTAATAATCTGATAGATTTAAACACTACAGATAGTATTTTCTTTCATTATCTCATTCTTTGGTGATGTCACAATGTATATGACATAGTAACACTATGTATCTGACATCACTAAGTAATGCAGAGTACTTGTGTGGTAAACTATCAAGTTTTATTTAGAGATGAAACAGATTTGCTCAGTAGAAATACTTCTTATGAATCATTAACATATCATAAGGTGTCCTAAGAGTCTTACATCACAGCAAATTGTGTCAATCTCTAATCAAACTTTAAAATCGTGCATTTGTAATAGTTGTAGTGTTAGAACATGTAGGTTTGTTAGTATTAACATCACAGACAGTCGCCATCCCCTTACCCCCCAACATTTTCTACTATATTTCTTATACCTTGCACTTAGCAAGAAGTTAAAATTAATACAGTGAAGAAAAAAATGAAATAATGCACCATTACGTTGTATTAACAATTCTGATTTCAATAAAGCTTTTATATTTTGCCACATATTCTGATTTTCCTAAAATACTCTCAAAGTAAAACCTACCGCTCAGTAGAGGTAACGCTTAGGGTCTCAGATCATAGTGAATCATAGGTGTCCTAAGTTCTCATCACAGCAGTCAGTTATAAGACATTGAACTGTTAATCACAGATGAAGGCCAACTGGGAGCAATTATAATCTGATTTAGGTCTTGAGTCAATAGTCTAGGTGAAGATGAAACAGATCTGCTCAGTAGAAATACTTCTTAAGAATCATTAACGTTTCATAAGGTGTCCTAAGAGTCTTACATCACAGCCAATTGTGTCAATCTCTAACTAAAATACAAAGAGTGACTTGTGTACCTTTAACCAGGTAGTAATAATACCAGCAATAAAACATGTATTTAAGATGGGAGGGGAACAAACAGGTGGTTGATTAATCAAAACTAACAACACATTAACTACAACCCATATGACTCCAAATTCAAGTCTACTGAATTTCCTCCTTCCCTACAAATAACTAAGTACACTCAAACCACTATTGTGTTATATAAAGACTAAGAGAGATTTTAAATTTTGAAGAAAATACAAACTCATGTCTCAAATTTTCTTATTTCTAAAAATTTGACAGGTATGAATCAACAAACTTTATGTCTGTTACAACAGTTCCACAAAATATAACCTGCTATGTATGGCTATTTAAATTGGTTCCTTCCCTTTTACTTGATCTGCTCAGCAGGAATTAGTAGGAATCACTAGTATCATAAGGTGTCCTAAGAACTTACATCATGGCAGATCTTAATCATTGCACTTTTTTATCACAATTGTCTCAAAAGTTAATTAGCCAAGTGAGTTGTACCCGTCATCAAAATCAACTTGACAATTACTGCTATAGAACACCATGTAGGAGACAGAAAAAGGCGACCCCAAAATATCACCAGGAATGTGTCGGAAGGAAGTTACGCACCAGAATGAGAGTTTAACTAAATGAAAGTATAGCAATTAACAGAGAATTCAACATGGCGTTGAACATTTCACTGTGACCTATAACAATTATTACTGCGTGAATCAACAAACAAGTTCCTTATCATTAAGCCACCTTCTTTATTAATAACCTCGAAGCACTTCACCAACAACCCTCACCCAACCAAATAAACCTTAATATTTTAATTTGACAATAAATATGGTACATAAAACATTCAAGTACTATCACTTAAACAATCAAACTCCTATAATTTTTTTCCCTCTAAGTTTAGACTTGCACTGCTCAGTAGAGGTAACGCTTAGGATTTGAAATCACGACTGATCATAGGTGTCCTAAGTTCTCATCACAGCAGTCAGTCATCAAGACATTTAAGCTCTTTTTCCAAGATGAGGGCAGTAAAATGAGCAATTTCAATCTAGGTAGAGATAATATCTACTATGATAAAGAACTCTTAAAATTAAATTTGACATACAGGACTACACTATGAAATAGGAATGAGAGACAAAGTCTAAAAAAGGATTATTGATACATAACAAATTTTATTGTGGAAAATATAAGTAGAGGAACTTGTATCGTTTACCTACTTCTTTATAGAATGATGAAACAAATTCACATATTTTTTTCAATTTACCAAGCCTCTTGCAAGTTTTAATAGAAATAAGTTACGAGAAGTTAAATTGATACCATATACAATAGGAAAAAATACAAGATTCTGTTAATCATTTAACTTCAATATTTTTGCAATAAATCCTGATAATATATTGGGCATCAGCAATTTAATAATCTGATAGATTTAAACACTACAGATAGTATTTTCTTTCATTATCTCATTCTTTGGTGATGTCACAATGTATATGACATAGTAACACTATGTATCTGACATCACTAAGTAATGCAGAGTACTTGTGTGGTAAACTATCAAGTTTTATTTAGAGATGAAACAGATTTGCTCAGTGGAAATACTTCTTATGAATCATTAACATATCATAAGGTGTCCTAAGAGTCTTACATCACAGCAAATTGTGTCAATCTCTAATCAAACTTTAAATCGTGCATTTGTAATAGTTGTAGTGTTAGAACATGTAGGTTTGTTAGTATTAACATCACAGACAGTCGCCATCCCCTTACCCCCCAACATTTTCTACTATATTTCTTATACCTTGCACTTAGCAAGAAGTTAAAATTAATACAGTGAAGAAAAAAATGAAACAATGCACCATTACGTTGTATTAACAATTCTGATTTCAATAAAGCTTTTATATTTTGCCACATATTCTGATTTTCCTAAAATACTCTCAAAGTAAAACCTACTGCTCAGTAGAGGTAACGCTTAGGGTCTGAGATCATAGTGAATCATAGGTGTCCTAAGTTCTCATCACAGCAGTCAGTTATAAGACATTGAACTGTTAATCACAGATGAAGGCCAACTGGGAGCAATTATAATCTGATTTAGGTCTTGAGTCAATAGTCTAGGTGAAGATGAAACAGATCTGCTCAGTAGAAATACTTCTTAAGAATCATTAACGTTTCATAAGGTGTCCTAAGAGTCTTACATCACAGCCAATTGTGTCAATCTCTAACTAAAATACAAAGAGTGACTTGTGTACCTTTAACCAGGTAGTAATAATACCAGCAATAAAACATGTATTTAAGATGGGAGGGGAACAAACAGGTGGTTGATTAATCAAAACTAACAACACATTAACTACAACCCATATGACTCCAAATTCAAGTCTACTGAATTTCCTCCTTCCCTACAAATAACTAAGTACACTCAAACAACTATTGTGTTATATAAAGACTAAGAGAGATTTTAAATTTTGAAGAAAATACAAACTCATGTCTCAAATTTTCTTATTTCTAAAAATTTGACAGGTATGAATCAACAAACTTTATGTCTGTTACAACAGTTCCACAAAATATAACCTGCTATGTATGGCTATTTAAATTGGTTCCTTCCCTTTTACTTTTTTTCCCTTTCAAATTTGACAATTATAAAAGGGATGACAGATGATCTGCTCAGTAGAAATAAATTGGAATCACAAGTATCATAAGGTGTCCTAAGAACTTACATCATGGCAGATCTTAATCATTGCACTTTATTATCACAATTGTCTCAAAATTAATTGGCCAAGTGAGTTGTACCCGTCATCAAAATCAACTTGACAATTACTGCTATAGAATACAATGTAGGAGACAGAAAAAGGTGACCCCAAAATATCACCAGGAATGTGTCGGAAGGAAGTTACGCACCAGAATGAGAGTTTAACTAAATGAAAGTATAGCAATTAACAGAGAATTCAACATGGCATTGAACATTTCACTGTGATCTATAACAATTATTACTGTATTAATCAACAAACAAGTTCCTGATCAATAAGCCACCTTCTTTATTAATAACCTCGAAGCACTTCACCAACTACACCCCCCCAACCAAATAAACCTTAATAATATTTTAATTTGACAATAAATATGGTACTTAAAACATTCAAGTACAATCACTTAAACAATCAAAATTTTTTTCCCTCTAAGTTTAGACTTGCACTGCTCAGTAGAGGTAACGCTTAGGATTTGAAATCACGACTGATCATAGGTGTCCTAAGTTCTCATCACAGCAGTCACAATCAACAACTACCTGCATGGATTATTTTAGGAAGCTACCAACTTGTAATCACATACATCAGAATGATGGCAAATATGTCAGTACTATGGAAAGTACACCTGTATGATGGCAAATACATCAGAATGATGACAATTTGTTGCTTTACTTAAGGTGCACATTTCTCTTGTTGCATGAATTTTGTCATATTTCAGTGTAGCAAGTGTTTAAGATTGATCATTCAAATAAACATGTTATCAATAGTCAGGCACATTTCATATGTGAAATCAGCTTCTTGTCCTCTCTCTTAAAACTGATCTATTTTCTCCCACTTCAGTATATCAAGAAAATTCAATAACGTCCACAAACTAAAATTTTAAACAGCTGAGTTGCTGACTCCACTATAAACAGAGATATTCTAAACGATACCCTTAAGACATGTTTTAGCATTGGTTTTATGAACAGATCTGAGAAGTTTTCATGATCATTGTTGTCTGTTTCAGGAGGAACATCCTTCCCCCAAAGATACAAACCTTGTAGTACTTGAGAACTGCCAGAGTGACCTTCTTCTTCTTGTGCTTGTTTTTCTTTGGGGTAGTGTAGTTCTTCTTCTTCCTCTTCTTGGCACCACCTCTCAACCTGAGCACCAAGTGCAGAGTCGACTCCTTCTGGATATTATAGTCGGACAAAGTTCTTCCATCCTCGAGCTGCTTTCCAGCAAAGATCAGCCTCTGCTGGTCAGGAGGAATGCCTTTCAAAAGACACGAACAACAATCAACATCTGCTAGTAATTAAAAGTGTAAACAAGATCAAATAACACGGACCTCAATCATGAAATTTTCCAGTCTAATAGTTTGGTTTGTGTGAATCTACTCCACACCCATATTCCACAAATCTACTTTCAAAATCAGAGATAAAATATTGATCATCTGACATCATAATCTTACAATAATTGCTCAGTAGAAATGATTGTTGTTGAATCATAACCATTTCATAAGGTGTCCTAAGAGTTATACATCACAGCAATTGTTTCATGTCAACAAACTTGTTTTTACAAGGATAAATATGCTGTTGTAAAGGGACCCGGGAATAGTACTTAGCCATGCCCCATCAGCATCGCTGTAACCCCTGGAAACTCGAGGACAAGTTATTTCCTGGAGGGAGAGTATGTAACCCTGGTAAAATACTAGCCGCAATATACCACTCGGCTAGAGAGAACTTCTCTTTAGCTCGATTGGTTGAGCGTCAGACTAGTACACCAGGGGTCCCTGGTTCGATTCCTAGCGGAGGCATTAAAATAAATAATGACCTCTGTTACATCTCAAAGATTACAAAGATCTCAAAGACTTTTTCTCAGCTCAATCCATTTAACAATATTTGGTACTTCTAAATTTTTCTTCCTCATCTGAAGAGAGTTAAATTAGTTATTGTATGACCCCTATTCCAATACACAGACAGTGATACTTTCTTGTGCAATCCATTTATTTCCGAGTTTGAAAATGCAAACGTGAAGAAACAAGAACTAATTCATATCTGCAGCTCAGCATATAAATAAAAAAAATGCAAGAATGTTTTATAAGTATGATAAGGTCTAAATTTTCTTTTAAAGACTAACTTGTACAAAAGGAATATCTGTATCAAAGTCAACTGCACAGTTGATTAATCTATGAATCATAACCACTTCATAAGGTGTCCTAGGAATTTTACACAATTGACAGCAATTGTCATTGACATTATATACAGTTTTAACATTTTTGTACACATGGTGAAAAAGAAAAGAAAAAAAGAAAAAATAAAAGAAATACAAGACGTTCAGTCCTCTATATTTACACACTGATCATTCATCATCAATCATACTGTAAATATATCTATCCATTATTAAACAGATTTTACCTTCTTTGTCTTGAATCTTGGCCTTCACATTTTCAATTGAATCACTGGGCTCAACCTAAAATCAAATTGGTGATGTGAACAATAATTCATAAATAGGTTCAATATGTACAAATTACTTGGACAAAATCCTGGGCAACAAATCGACAATTAGCATGTACACATGACAAATATTCATAATGGTAGGAAAGTTGTATTCTTCATATTGGACTGATATAAATTTATATTAGTTTTGTATGAAAGTTCCTCAGCAAACATAGACCTTTTATATTACTGTTTGTAGCGTTTATACACTAACCTCAAGAGTGATGGTTTTGCCCGTGAGGGTCTTGACAAAGATCTGCATGGCTGCTCAGATCACCACTGAAAAATAATTGTAATGAATTTGTTTAATTTTCATTAGACTAATATGACAAAGCCTTAATGCAAATTTCTCAATAAACAAAACTAAAAGAAAAACTTCAATTTATATAACATAACCTATATGAGAAATTGTGTGTTGGTATTAATGTGTAAAGGTGGATGAAACTCACATTGTAAACATGCTAGTTCACAATCATGGTCAAATTTGAATCAGTCGGAACATCCCTTGATCCATATTTACTATATACCTCTTATTCAGACTGCACAATGAGCCCTCCCATGACTATAGACTACTTGTAATATGACATGTTCAACATTTGTGACATTAGTTCTTATTTTTCTGATAATCTACAGCCTTTTTATACCGGTCTGGAGTCAATGAATGTCAGAACTCCAACTCTATATAAAGTTGAGGAAAACAAGCGACCCACGCTTGGGTCAACATTCAAAACAATGATAGAAAGACATGCCATTTTTACATACAAATCGTACATGATAGAACATCAGAAAAGTCCGACTAATTTTACCAGAAAACAAGCCTTATACACCGGTACATTTTACCGTTTAGTTCGGGTCTGGTAGTTTTTCTTTTCGATATTCTTTTCGTTGATTGTTTTTCATTTGTTTTTATATCTCCATGGAAGTGTTTCGTAACATACCACGATTTCCTTAAGCTAAGTACGTTTTAATATTATCCTAGCATATAACCAAGTACAGGCTTTCTCACAAATTCTCTGAATCATGGAAAATTGTCAAATTATGTGTATAATGTGACTGATGTTGTCTTTAACCAGTTAATCCGAAAAATCGTGCAAATAATTGACGAAATGGTCGTTCTTCCTCTGCTTATTGGCGATCATTAATGAGACACACATGCTGAGACTACAAACTTCGGTATCACTTAGTCGAATACCATTAAATTTGCCACTTTGTTACTTCTATTTTAGTTGCTGTCAAGCTCAACAAAACATTTTCCCTAAAAAATATGTCAGTTGATTTGCAGACTTTCCTCAGGTTCAAACATTTTTTAAACATATCAATCATCTTAAGCTATAACAGATGCTCTCTCACCAATACAAAATACATAAAATGGGTTATGATGACGGTAACACGACCAAATAACACATTATTTTATTGGTGCATACCATTTACTATGGCGGACAACTCAGAAAAGGAAGAAACGTGGGTTGAGCATGCTCGATCATGGGGCCCATAATCTACAACCAAAAGAAATAATTGACACAAAGTCGTATATTACCATTTCATCATCTTTGATTCTGACTTTTTTAGCCTCATTTAATAATAGTGAAATAGATTTCTTAAAAGTTATATGTATTTGGGAGAATATTTCGGTAAAAATGAATATTTGTTCTTGTTTTAGATTATATATCTATTTCCGGACAGGAACTTTGTAACTTTTCGGGTGTTTCCATCAACTTTACATTACCTTTCGAAGTTCTCGGAATTTTTCACAACGCGCCATGAACACCGGTTAAAATGACAGCCAAAACAAAGTTTATGAGATTGGAATCAGAAATCGAGAAATGTAGAAACGATTCGTGTTGGATAAAAGCCAGCGAGCTAGCACGGCAACTTTCCAGTAAATCCTCCGAATTAGGTGAGTAAAGTACATTCATACTCGCAACAAATGAATATATTTATTCTATAATATACATGTTTGTACGACCAGGATACATAGCCACGAGAGAGAACAGGAATAAACCGTAAAAACGACCGTTTCGGCTCAACACCTGCAAAAATACATTCTCCAACCGTGTAATCAACTCATGGAACAGTTTGCCGGATAGTGTTATTACAGCAAACTCTGTGAATAGCTTCAAAACCAGACTGAATACCCACTGGAAGGATCATCCCGATAAGTTCACTGTTTAGTGTAACCGTCAAGCTGTTTGGGGATTGCCCCGCCACTTGACTGTTACTGCCCAGTTTTAATGTAACAATGTATATAAGGACGTTTGAATGAAGCCTGACTTTTTGTACTTATGAAGCACAATGAACAGGGGCCAAGTGAGTAAATTAGGAATACAAATATAAGACCCAAATCATTATTATATTACCATATTAACATCCCTGTTTTTTGCCATTTAATCCTTTTATAACTTGTATTAGAATATATAGTGTCAAGGTGTCTGGAGATTGTTCCACTACTTGTCCTTTAATACCAACTACATGTTAGTTAATGTTAATCAAGACCTAAAATTCATTTTCCTAAATTATATATTAATATTTTTATAATTCGTATGTGCACATGCAAGGTGTAAGGGGGAACTAAGTTCCCCACTGAGTACATTGCAACAAGAAGATAGAAGATGGTTCCCTACAAGCGAAGCTTTCAATTGAGGCGACATTCCCGCTATTTACCTGCGAATCTTTCTTGATATTATCCCTTATGCATACAGATCTACTTAAAGTTGAAAAAAAATCTCGTGATGAATACGCGTTTCATTAAACAGAAACATATATGCTCACCCAGAGGTTACTAAAGTGTCTGAATTCTGAATGAGTCAACAATTTTGGTTTATCAATTTGATGGGATGGTGGGGGGTGCGGGGGGGGGGGGGGGGTTGGCTTAGGGGGAGGGGTCGTCACTTAGAAGTGGTGGTGGTGGTGGAAGTGGGGGGAGGGGTAGGAGTCTGGATTTGTTGGGTGCTGTTGCTGTTCTGAATCTGAATCACTGCACATGATCCTAGTGTTGTTTGTACTGTTATGGTGTATTTTTATGGTAGGCTATCAAAGTCCAAGTGTTTAAAAAAGTCACTATATTTCTGATTTATGGATATCTGTTATCCATAGATGGATCCATAAATAATTGAAAAATGTCATGAGTTATTAAGTTCTTGTATTTTCAAAAATACTTCATCGATATCTGTAATTATAACCATTTTAATATCCATAAATCATTTTTGAATATCCATAAAATATTTTTCATCAATTAAATTTTAGAGATGATTAATGGAGATTTCTGTTTCCGTTTCAGACTATTATGAACAGTTTACTCTGGCAGAAAGTCATTTAGAGGAGTACCTCAAAGAAAATCCTCCATTAGAGAAAAACAGCAGCAAGGCAAGGGCACACCTGGCAGATGCAGAAAAACAATTGAAACTTATTGCCAAGGCAAAAAACAAGGTTAGTTTGATGGAGAGAATATCACTGTGGTTATGATAAAGATATGTGAATTTTTAAGAAAACATCCCTGTACCTTATTGCCCTCATTTGAACTTTTTGATAATTATTCACTTGTGTAAGGATAATATTTATATCTGGAGAACATAGTGTTCAAGTGTTATATTGAAGTGTTATATTGCAGATAATATTTTACCAAGGTTACATATTGTCCCTCCAAGAAATTACACATTATTGAGTTTCTAGTGGTTATAAAATACTTGTGAAAGTAAGGCCAAGTGTTATTCCAGAGTCCTTACATGGGCACCAGTGTGACAGCAGTCGTTATATATTTCAATGCCTCTGCCAGGATTCGATCCCAGGGCTGCTGGTTTACTAGTCTGATGCTCAACCAGTCAAGCTTAAACGAAGTTCTCTCTAGCCGAGCTGTATACAACGGTTAGTATTTTACTAGACATGATTTCATGTTTATTGTGCAGCATACTTTACAGTTTAGATTTTTTCAATATATATATTTTCAGTTGAGCCTGGATGCCAATTTGTTGCTTGCAAAAATCAGCTACAGCCAGGGCCAATATGAGGCGACTCTTGATATATTTGATGAGAATGTAAATCTGGAGGAGCTGGCCTCAAAGGACTTTGCTACCACACGCCAGCTTCAAATAGTGGCAGAGTCTTTTGCTATCAAAGGTGAAATATAGAAAGCAAATAATCAAACTTGCATTGAGTCAGACTTTCTGGTATAAATTGAGTATAATACATTGGAAATTTGCTGTTTTATTTTCGTTTTAATTTGTCAGTAGGGCTACATAGGAAATATATCTATGTCTGTCAGTCTGTCTGTCTGATTATTACTGTAGAGTCATATATATATTTGTGGGGCTACATCTAGCATTATAATCATTGTCAACTTCTATCAATTAAATATCGTTTTATGGATATTTGCCCACAAATCAAACAGAAACAAATTCCCCACATAAATAAATGATTTTATAGGAGTAAAACAAATCTTTGTCTTTGTTTTTATTTTTTGGTTGATGAAACATTTTACATGATGACAAATAGTGAAAAAATGGAGAGAAACATTATGTGATTTGACAAAGTGCCATATATACTGCTAAAAACAGTTTTTTTCGTTGGACTTCATTAAGTTTGAAAATTTTGTTGGTAACAAATTTTTTGCACCATTGATGTGAAGAAATAGAAAGTTTTACATAGCAGATTATACTTGCTAAGAAATGCTGTCCTCTCTAGGCAGACCATAATCTTTGGTAAATAATGCTATTTGTATAGGACTTATTTTCATTTGAACAGTATTACGCAATTGAAATACAAAAATTTTATTTACGAAAATTAGAACCACACAAAAATAACAAATTTTAGCCTATACTGTCCTTTGTAGAAATGTTTAAAACTCTAGGCAAGGTCAGAACAGTGGTTTAGATGTAATATTGTCTGATATGTTAGAAATTTTCCTATTCTTTTAAAAACCTCTTTTAAAACAGCCATCAATCTTAATTTCCAGGTATTTGTATAGAGAAGGTTGGACCTAGCTCCACCAGTAAATTTCGTGTAGCAGAACAGGAAGAGAAGATTATCAGCTGCTATGAGAAGGCTGGTGACCTAGCTTTACTGTACCTCCAAGAGAGGGATAGGACAGGCAGTTCCAGTGGTTCTGGAGTCAGTCCATCCCCAACACCCTCAATTCCTCAGGAAGATAGTCTTGGCATGATCCTGGAGACAGCACTACAACAGTCACCCATTCTCTATATAAAACGAGGGTTGGTTTGTGATTGTACTTACCCCCAACCCGCAAATGTACATATTGTTTTTTTTAGTTTACATATAAAAAAAAGAGTATGAATAAAGGTCATCAGCACAAAAAATGCTAAAAGAAAAACAAAGTTTGCCACAGCAGGTTTCTGGTTTTGTCTGTATTTCATTTGGTGTGTTTTGACTATTACTCATATAGTCATGACACATCAAACCCTATGTTTATCTCTTTTTTGATACTTCAGAGAAAATACCATGTCATTTGGGATGAAAATATTTTGTTATATATGTCTAGGCATGATATCTCTCATAATGTAAAAGAAGTATTTTCAGAAATGTTTAACTCGTAAAAAAAAACCCTACTTTGTTATTTATTCATATACTGTATGTTTCTTTCCATAGAAATCTGGAAAAAGGTGTCAACAGGTTTAGAGATCTTTTGAGAGCAGTAGAATCCCGCTTCACACAAGGATTACGACAGGTAGAGTGTGATTACACAGGTTGTGGTAAAGAAGTGTTAATGATTGAAATTAACGTCTTAATTGTCATTTGATTATGACTTGCCCAAGTATGGCTGAAAAAAGAGAGTTGAAACTGGCTGTAACCTGGACGAGCGTGACTCGCAAAGAATGGCTAAAACAACCAAAATACAATATATACAAGTTTATTACACTATATACACACAACAAGATGTATCTCCTACCCTAATTCAGCACACTTCACTCCCTCACTCATAACCACACTTACACTATAATTATAGAAATATATATTTAAGTCTATACAGCCAAGCATCTATACATGTCTCTGGTAAAGACTCTGAAAAGCGTCTCTGGATGACCTGCTTATAAAACGTTACATCAGTCTGCAAATGTTCACCGAATTGAACAAATGTCCTCCCTGCTAACAGATCCAATGACGCACCAAGTACTGTCCACAAAGGACATCTCAATAATTGTCCACACAGGACATCTCAGGACTGCCCACACAGGATATCTTCATAATGGTCCACACAGGACATCTTAGGACTGCCCACACAGGACATCTTTATAATTGTCCACACAGGACAGCATATACAGTAGATAGGTCCGTCTACCTCCAGACTGTATACCGCAACAGTCCACACCAGACCTCATATGTTTACAGGACAGCCCACACAGGACATGGTATCAGGCTACACTGCCTTGCCCACACAGTACGTTAGCAACAGCTATCTTGGCCCACATAGGACACAAACATGTACCATCTTTGTACCAGTAGTATCATCATCATCCTCACTAACATCATGGGGTAGAACAGTAATTACATAATATAACCATGTCTAACCAAATATCCCATTCCTATTACTAAGCTTTACATATATTCATTTAGTATCTCACAATATACACAAATATTATATTATTACAACCATCTAATACTGTATGTAGCTAATTAACTGATATAATTCCATTAGCAAATTCTAGTCTTAATTTCAAGTTTCTGATAAATAAACTGACTATTTCTGCTTATAATAACTAAATACATAATCCAATTCACAAAAATTAGTCATTCTATACCCATAACATATGTATTTTGAACTGTACTCATCAGCTGTTATAAGCATATACATAGTGATATTCGGCCCAAATACCAAACACAACAGATTCAGGGTAAGCATTGGAATATAAGGGTGTTATAAAGGTTTACAAACTTACCGCAAACTGTATTTTGTGATGGCTAACCCCATACAAGCAATTATCAACCTGCCGAAATCTACACCGCTGCTCTCGCTTACATGAACATTTCCTTTCTCACGAGACTAAATTCAAATATAAAGAACTCGGATCAGGAGAATCCGTAATTAAATCTTTTACATGGGATTATTAAGAAAAATAGATAGACAGTATTTAGTTTAGATATTATCAAAATTATTTCCTTAAATACATGTACAAAATGTTCAGAATAACTGGGATATTATTTCATACATATAAACAGATAAAATGTACAAAATTATGGTTGGGACTGTGACACTGGCATATAGATATGCCACTCTGAAAATGGAAAATCTTACATTGTTCCTTAGATATTGACTAAAGATTGTTGGAATCTGGTATAGAACTAGATCTTACAACATTGTTGATAATATCAGTTGGATATATTGAAGGGAAATCGTAAAATGTCTGACAGTAATGAATTATGATCTTTAAATATTTAACCAAGACTAATGATCAAACTAGAACCAAAAATCTGTATTCAACATTCTTGATACATGAGAAAGAAAATATTTTGAACATACCATATTTTCTGGGCTATAAACTGCACCTGAGGATAAGTATGCACGGGGCTGGTTTTTAGCGATTTTTTTTTATTTGATCCACATATAAGACACACAGGAAATTAAGCAGCACCCTTTCCTACAATTTGATAACAGTTATGTTGACCAAAGTTCTTGATATATACGAGTAATCATATTACGAGGTTTATTTCTATAGATTCAGCTTGATGGAGATCACCTTTGTCTGAAAAAGATAGCAATTCTGTAGAAATTTTCTATATTTTCAACGTCCTTGTACTGAGTCAACATCTTCACATTTAAACAGTCCAGATATGTATACAAGACTCCATAGTATAAGGTGATAAACATAGCATTGTGAGTTATCTTATATACAACCTTGCTCAGTCAAAAATGGTAAAAGATGGTCTTTGACTTTGAAATTTTGACCTGATAGCCAACAAAATCTTCCTAGGTGTAGAACTTTGTGTAAACATGTGAGATATTTTGTATGCAAGCTAGACGATTGAAGGGCTGATAAATTTATGTTCACTATCAAAGTTTTCATTTTGAATAATTGTTGTTGATGGAGCAGAAGATATATTTACTCTTTCAAAACACCAGGGCTTATTCCCCCGAGCTCTTTTTTGTGAGTCCCTTAATTTTTCCTTGTCCTTATTTGATTCATTTTAACTTAGAATTGTATTTTTGTTTACAAAGTGGTTTTCTCTTTGTTTTAATTTTAACAGTGATGTTTTTGTTCAAAAAGACTTTTAGGCTCACTTTGACCGTATTGTAATAATGTAATTCACAGATGTGAAATAATATCACTGCACATTAATGTTCTTATAACATTTACTGATTGTTTTCTTGCAACATGGATAATTAAGAGATTTTGGAGTCTGTACTTACAAACAAATATGTAGATCAGATCTTATTCTCTTTTTTTTCTTATTTGTGTGTGTGTGTGGCAGACCCTGGCACGTCAACTGGCAGAGGTGCTGCTACGTGGAATGTGTGAGAACTCGTACATTCCCATAGGACCATCGATGAAACCCACTACTCTGGCGACACACTCACTCCAGCCAAGAAAGTACTCTGGTGACAGGTAACAACACTAAGGAAATGTTGCTTACAGTCGTGTGCTTTAATTAATGTTATGGAATTAGAAAATGGCTGCAGGTTCAAATGTCCACTGTTTACACTACAACCTGTCATTGATAAAAAAAGTACCTCCTTGTTGCAATGTACTGCTTGGATCAAGGTGGCTTCTTCCATCACGGTACAAACTGTTTTTTTTATACCAGTAACCATTAGTCTACTCGAATACAGGTGCATAAAATTATGCAATGTACAAAAGAGACTCCATCCATTAGAGAGCTCACTCGGTAACTGTGCTCAGAAGAGCATATTGTCAAGAAGTTTTATGATTATAAATTTTGATTACATTCTCACACTTGAACAGAGTTGAGCATGAGCACAAAAGTTGAGTTTGAGCATTAGACAGGTTTTGTGAATACAGGCTTAGTACATCACTCCATGCAATCATATTAGGTGACTAAAAGACGTACTCGTGGCAAATCAGGGGTTTCATGTACATTCTGCTGAGGGACGTGGGAGAGATAAAAAATGATCTGCTGTTGGACTCTTGTCCACAAATGATCTTAGCTGTTCAGCTAAGGGTATATTTTACCTTCCTTCAGTTTCTGTAACAACAAATTCTTATTCTTTGTCTCCATTTTTGTGTTATTAATTCAAATGAATTCACCATTGTCATGTTTATTTTATCAGACAATTTCTGCCGAGAGATGAGAATGAGGAGGCACTACTACTACTGCTCATAGCCGAGGCTATTGTAAGTCACCAACAATTCACCTTTCTCCTAGGCATCATACAATAGAGAGTTCTGTAGGTATTAGCTTGGTTCATCACATGATCTACAGGGCACTTGGGTATAGGAATATGTATATGCCTTGTAGAGTGAATAATCAATATATAACAACATTTTGTAAATAATTGAAACATGTTTCACCATTATCATATCATGGGTCGTTTGTAATCAATTAACTAACTTTGTAGTGTCAGTTGATGTGTTTTACATGTCATATATTACTCATGTAGCCAAACAGTTTCGCAAAAACTAGATACAATTGTTAGATCAAATTTCTCTTAATTTCAGTATGACTTTACAAACACAGTCAAAAGATTCAGTCACCTGTATTTTGATAGCTATCAATTTTAAATGTAATCAAAATGACTTTTTTCTAGAAAGAATTGACTGCAGTAAGGGAAATGCTTGATGATGATTGGTGAAATTCAGAATTCAGCAAAGAAATTATTATTTTGTAGGATATGACTTGTAAGATTAACAATAATTCCTATACCTTTGTTTACAGATGCTATACTAATAAGTTTCACTCATTTACAATAATAATGGGCAAAAATGATGTGTTATTGTACTTATCCTGGAAAAAGCCAAGGGAGAGAACACCTGGCTAGAGATGGACTTATTACCAAGCATAGACTTATTGTGGGATAAGTATGGAAGGTGAATTGGTCACATGACATATAAGTTGTGTAATATTTTGTATATTGTTGTTGATAGGCGACTCGGGAAGCAGTGTTAAACAGAACAGAGGAACATGATGAGGCACGTCTTCATAGTTTCATGAATACGACGGTTGTGTTTGATCTCCTTGCCGTGGCTCTAGTCAAACGTGCTCAGTTCAGCAAGCTCTCAGAGGTATTCTACTGATACAAACTGGCTGCCTGTTATATCACTTCACAAGTTAACTGTTAACTTATTTTTTACTGGATTAAAATAATCTAAAGAAGAAAATTATATGAATTTTATGACAGTGGACAAATTAGAAAACTTAAATACACATCAGGTTTTGGTCTTTCCAAAAGACAGTTATCTTCCCTCTAACTAATTTGCATAAAATATTGTTTTAAAATCATTCTTCGCACTAGAAAATTTAGGAGTGAATATCATAGTTCAATCGAGTGAACACTGTATTTAAAGGTGTTATGTAGCTGAAATGTGTACAATACAAAATTAAACATACATTGCATTATAATATTTCAACCCTTAAATATGTAGTTGGAGGGGTAAAAATGACTGATATATAGTCTTTAATTTGTAAAATTATTGTTGTTTATCTTTTGATTTGTTTATTTATTTTGCTGCAGTCATTTGAGCGAGCAATGCGGTTCTCATTTGAAGAGTTTCATATCTGGCACCAGTTTGCTAACTCCCTCATATGTGCTGGAAAGGTGAGTTAAGTGTAGATCCTTACTGTATAGTGGCTGTGAATGGTAAAACTGAAGTATTCTATGTAACAGATGAAGCAGAATAATTCAAACTTATTTATTAACGCTAAAAACAATAACTATTATGATGTATTAAATCGGAGTACACATTATATATCAGTGTATTTAAGACGGAGGTTAGCTGATTTTTTAGAAAGCTGTTCAAATCCTGGTTATATACAAAGAAATCTGTAAAATGATACTAATTATGGATGGCTGATTAGTTATCATTCAACAATATCTGTGCATCAATGAAAGGGAGGTAACTGAAAATAATAGAGAAAAAAACTTAAAATAAGTTTTATGATTGTTATATAAGCTTCATTATTAATTGATATATGGTTAGACATATTTTATCCAACATTGTTTTACTAGAAAGTGCATCTCTCCTTTCTTGTAGCAATGCAAGGGAGATAACTGTAAAAAATACTGTTAATTTTTCTTAATTTCTGTGTATGGTTAAATATTTTTTAATCATTTTAATTTGTATAGAAATAAACATGATATAGAATTGCCATAACTGATTGAAATGAATAATTTGTGATTATTTAGTATACAAGGGCCCTGCTGGTGCTGAAGGAATGTTCTCGTCTCAAACCTCAGAACTGTACAGTATTACTGCAGGGAGCAAAGCTCTGTTACGAGTATTTACACCAGGTAGGTCCTACTACAGACATCCTGTCTCTAATACAGATATTTACAAGTCTATAGGTATTTCAACAAAATTTCCTTATCAGTTCAGAGGTCATTCTGCATTGTAGAGTTTTAATTTTCATGCCTCAGTGTAGTCATTTAATTTATTGTTTTCACTTTAAATATGGTTTGATTTGACAGTTGTTTTAAAAGAAAATTATCAGTTTCTCAATAAATTACTTAAAAAATAATTACAATTATCAACACATTGCAGAGTATACAAATATCTGTAGTTTGTGGTAAATATCCACTGAAATGATGTGCGTTGTTGCTGGTAGTATACAGAAGGTATCCGGCTATCAGAACAAGCCCTGGAGTGTCTGGCTGATGACCATCCACTGTGTGCAAGAGTGCATGTATCCCTCGGCATTGGCTACAGTCTGGCTGCCATGGAAATGAGACTGCAGGCGGATAGACAGCAGTACAATAAGAAAGCACTGGCAGCTTTTAACAGGTGATTTATAACATAGAGCTCCATACTCTTACAGGGATATTGTAGAGCTTGTAGTATTTATGTATTTTTTGTTTTTACAGATATACTAAAATTGTTAAAAATAGATACATTGGTTATCAATGGAGTAAACTTAAGACTGTAAATTGATTTCCCTGAAAAATTGTTCTTGTTCGCTTAAATGTCAACTTACAAAAATTTGAATGTTGATTAAAAAAAAAAAACTGTTACGTGTTTACAGGAGAAGTTTTGTCAATTAGAACAATCCTTTGATTTAGAAAAATAATTCAACATTGCATTTAATTATAAAATTAATGTTACATGTTAAAAAATTGGTGAATTTTATGCATGCAATTGATGTTGACAATTTATATTTGTTATCAGGGCACACATGTATGACCCCAGTGACTATTTGGCATTGTTTCACCTGTCCCTACAGCTAGCCATACACAGACAGGTTTGTAACATTCTGTAATATTCTACCCATACACAGACAGGTTTATAACACTCTGTAATACTCTGTCCATATACAGACAAGTTTGTAACATTCTATAATACTCTACCCATACACAGACAGGTTTATAACACTGTGTAATACTCTACCCATACACAGACAAGTTTGTAACACTGTGTAATACTCTGTCCATACACAGACAAGTTTGTAACATTCAATAATACTCTACCCATACACAGACAGGTTTGTAACACACTATAATACTCTACCCATACACAGACAGGTTTGTAACACACTATGATACTCTACCCATACACAGACAGGTTTGTAACACACTATAATACTCTACCCATACACAGACAGGTTTGTAACACACTATAATACTCTACCCATACACAGAAAGGTTTGTAACACACTATAATACTCTACCCATACACAGACAGGTTTGTAACACACTATGATACTCTACCCATACACAGACAGGTTTGTAACACACTATAATACTCTGCCCATACACAGACAGGTTTGTAACACTGTATAACACTCTACCCATACACAGACAGGTTTGTAACACCCTATAGTACTCTATCCATACACAGACAAGTTTGTAACACACTATAATAATCTACCCATACACAGACAGGTTTGTAACACTGTGTAATAATCTTCCCATACACAGACAGGTTTGTAACACACTATAATACTCTACCCATACACAGACAGGTTTGTAACACACTATAATACTCTACCCATACACAGACAGGTTTGTAACAGACTATAATACTCTGTTCATACACAGACAGGTTTGTAACACACTATAATACTCTACCCATACACAGAAAGGTTTGTAACACACTATAATACTCTACCCATACACAGACAGGTTTGTAACACACTATGATACTCTACCCATACACAGACAAGTTTGTAACACACTATAATACTCTGCCCATACACAGACAGGTTTGTAACACTGTATAACACTCTACCCATACACAGACAGGTTTGTAACACCCTATAGTACTCTATCCATACACAGACAAGTTTGTAACACACTATAATAATCTACCCATACACAGACAGGTTTGTAACACTGTGTAATAATCTACCCATACACAGACAGGTTTGTAACACTGTATAACACTCTACCCATACACAGACAGGTATGTAACACACTATAATACTCTACCCATACACAGACAGGTTTATAACACTGTGTGATACACTGTCCATACACAGACAGGTTTGTAACACACTATAATACTCTACCCATACACAGACAGGTTTATAACACTGTGTGATACTCTGTCCATACACAGACAGGTTTGTAACACACTATAATACTCTACCCATACACAGACAGGTTTGTAACACTGTGTGATACTCTGTCCATACACAGACAGGTTTGTAACACACTATAATACTCTACCCATACATAGACAGGTTTGTAACACACTATAATACTCTACCCATACACAGACAGGTTTGTAACACCCTATAATACTCTACCCATACACAGACAGGTTTATAACACTGTGTGATACTCTGTCCATACACAGACAGGTTTGTAACACACTATAATACTCTACCCATACACAGACAGGTTTATAACACTGTGTGATACTCTGTCCATACACAGACAGGTTTGTAACACACTATAATACTCTACCCATACACAGACAGGTTTGTAACACCCTATAATACTCTACCCATACACTGACAGGTTTATAACACTGTGTGATACTCTACCCATACACAGACAGGTTTGTAACACTGTTTAATACTCTTCCCATACACAGACAGGTTTGTAACACACTATAATACTCTACCCATACACAGACAGGTTTATAACACTGTGTAATACTCTACCCATACACAGACAGGTTTATAACACTGTGTAATACTCTACCCATACACAGACAGGTTTATAACACTGTGTGATACTCTGTCCATACACAGACAGGTTTGTAACACTGTTTAATACTCTTCCCATACACAGACAGGTTTGTAACACACTATAATACTCTGTTCATACACAGACAGGTTTGTAACACACTATAATACTCTACCCATACACAGACAGGTTTGTAACACACTATAATACTCTACCCATACACAGACAGGTTTATAACACTGAGTGATACTCTGTCCATACACAGACAGGTTTGTAACACACTATAATACTCTACCCATACACAGACAGGTTTGTAACACCCTATAATACTCTACCCATACACAGACAGGTTTATAACACTGTGTGATACTCTACCCATACACAGACAGGTTTGTAACACTGTTTAATACTCTTCCCATACACAGACAGGTTTGTAACACACTATAATACTCTACCCATACACAGATAGGTTTATAACACTGTGTGATACTCTGTCCATACACAGACAGGTTTGTAACACACTATAATACTCTACCCATACACAGACAGGTTTGTAACACCCTATAATACTCTACCCATACACAGACAGGTTTATAACACTGTGTGATACTCTACCCATACACAGACAGGTTTGTAACACTGTTTAATACTCTTCCCATACACAGACAGGTTTATAACACTGTGTGATACTCTGTCCATACACAGACAGGTTTGTAACACACTATAATACTCTACCCATACACAGACAGGTTTATAACACTGTGTGATACTCTGTCCATACACAGACAGGTTTGTAACACACTATAATACTCTACCAATACACAGACAGGTTTGTAACACACTATAATACTCTACCCATACACAGACAGGTTTATAACACTGTGTGATACTCTGTCCATACACAGACAGGTTTGTAACACACTATAATACTCTGTTCATACACAGACAGGTTTGTAACACTGTGTAATACTCTACCCATACACAGACAGGTTTGTAACACTGTTTAATACTCTTCCCATACACAGACAGGTTTATAACACTGTGTGATACTCTGTCCATACACAGACAGGTTTGTAACACACTATAATACTCTGTTCATACACAGACAGGTTTGTAACACACTATAATACTCTACCCATACACAGACAGGTTTGTAACACACTATAATACTCTACCCATACACAGACAGGTTTATAACACTGTGTGATACTCTGTCCATACACAGACAGGTTTGTAACACACTATAATACTCTACCAATACACAGACAGGTTTGTAACACACTATAATACTCTACCCATACACAGAAAGGTTTGTAACACACTATAATACTCTACCCATACACAGACAGGTTTGTAACACACTATAATACTCTACCCATACACAGACAGGTTTATAACACTGTGTGATACTCTGTCCATACACAGACAGGTTTGTAACACACTATAATACTCTACCAATACACAGACAGGTTTGTAACACACTATAATACTCTACCCATACACAGAAAGGTTTGTAACACACTATAATACTCTACCCATACACAGACAGGTTTGTAACACACTATAATACTCTACCCATACACAGACAGGTTTGTAACACACTATAATACTCTATCCATACAAAGAAAGGTTTGTAACACACTATAATACTCTACCCATACAAAGAAAGGTTTGTAACACACTATAATACTCTACCCATACACAGACAAGTTTGTAACAGACTATAATACTCTACCCATACACAGAAAGGTTTGTAACACACTATAATACTCTACCCATACACAGACAGGTTTGTAACACACTATAATACACTACCCATACACAGACAGGTTTGTAACACACTATAATACTCTACCCATACACAGACAGGTTTGTAACACACTATAATACTCTACCCATACACAGACAGGTTTGTAACACACTATAATACTCTACCCATACACAGAAAGGTTTGTAACACACTATACTACTCTACCCATACACAGACAGGTTTGTAACACTGTATAACACTCTACCCATACACAGACAGGTTTGTAACACACTATAATACTCTACCCATACACAGACAGGTTTGTAACACCCTATAGTACTCTATCCATACTACAAAGTCTAGTATGATATTTAACTAAAGTATCTTTCTTTCAGATCAATGATGCAATTAAGAATGTGAGGCTGGCACTACGTTACAGAAATGATCACATCCATTCCCTTCATCTTCTGGTTCTATTACTGACAGCACAGAAACAATTTGATGAAGCTATATCTTTACTTAATGCAGCTTTAGATGAGTACCCAGAAAACCTCAGGTAGATAATGTAGCTTTAGACGAGTACCCAGAGAATCTCAGGTAGATAATGTAGCTTTAGACGAGTACCCAGAGAATCTCAGGTAGATAATGTAGCTTTAGACGAGTACCCAGAGAATCTCAGGTAGATAATGTAGCTTTAGACGAGTACCCAGAAAACCTCAGGTAAATAATGTAACTTTAGATGTGTACCCTGAAAACTTCAGGTAAAAAGTGCAGCTTATGACAAATATCCAGAAAATCTCAGGTTGATAATGTAGCTTTAGACGAGTACCCAGAAAACCTCAGGTAAATAATGTAACTTTAGATGTGTACCCTGAAAACTTCAGGTAAAAAGTGCAGCTTATGACAAATATCCAGAAAATCTCAGGTTGATAATGTAGCTTTAGACAAGTCCCCAGAGAATCTCAGGTAGATAATTTAGCTTTTGACGAGTCCCCAGAGAATCTCAGGTAGATAATGTAGCTTTAGACGAGTACCCAGAAAACCTCAGGTAAATAATGTAACTTTAGATGTGTACCCTGAAAACTTCAGGTAAAAAGTGCAGCTTATGACAAATATCCAGAAAATCTCAGGTTGATAATGTAGCTTTAGACAAGTTCCCAGAAAATCTCAGGTAAATTGTGACACAAGCTGATCTGTTCAAGTCTTCACAGAGTCAAGCTCAGAACAAATATGCAGAAATCTTCACACAGGTAAATAGTGAAACAAGCTGATCTGTTCAAGATTACTGAATACAGCTCAGAACGAGTATCTTGAAAACTGTAAGTAAATAGTGAAACAAAGTGATATGTTCAAGCCTTCACTGAACAGCTCAGAATAAGTAGGTACCCAAACATCCTTAGTTCTTGAACAATAGCATTGTTTGATGGTACTAGTGTAGTGAACATTGAACGAGTACCTAGAAAACCGAAGGAAGTTACAAAATGCAGGTTCATATGATTAATACATAATATTAGTCCTTCAATACTCACTGTGGTGTTATCCTATATCCATTGTTTTTATAGTGAATATTAGATATTTGTATTGACATACAGTCAGCCTCCTGTGAATATCTAGAAAACTGTAGAACCATATTGATACATTGTGATGAGTTGATACGGACTTGATGTGAGTCCCAATCTTCTATATATCCTACAAACTAGCACTTTACAATTTACAGGAAAATAATATCCCTTTACAAAAATTTACCATGCAGCGTCAAAAGTTCAATTTTGGTATTTATTTTGCTGACAGTGTGTTTTAACTTAATGACTTTACTATAATAAACATCTGAGCTCTCTATATATTTGTCTATATTCAATTTTATGTTAAATCAGTTAAATGTTTGACCCCTGTGTTAATTTGTATATCGTCAGTTTGATGTTGACCAAGTCAAGATTGGAGGAGATCCTATATGGTCCAGAACAGGCACTATCTACTTGTAAACACATGTTACAACTGTGGAAGGAATTATACGAGGTTGATACAGAGGAGTGAGTACACCTGGACAGTTAATATTCCTTTTTAGATATTTTAATACCCTAACATTCTTCCAGATTTATTAATTTCTTAAAAATCACCCCATTTCAATAACCCAGTAAGTCATATCTGTAAAAATTACACTGTAGCCCTATAGAATCCTTTATTTTATTTTAGCTGGAAAATGTTGACTTCTACTCAAAAATCACTGAACCAATTTCAGTTCAATTTTGTAGAAACCTTCCAGGGTTTAAACTATACCTAAGTAATGAATTATATGGTCCTAACCCCCCAGGTGCCAGATGGACACGGCCAAAAGTGACCAAATTGACTTGAAGTTCAAAAATCTTCTTCTCAAAACCAAGATACAGTAGAGTTTAATCCTTTTCATAGTTTGGAACATCTCAAGGTGCTTTACCAAAGTTGCTAATTTCATGGCCTTAGGGTCTCACATTTCCCCAAAATTTACTATAGTTTACTATAGTTTTAATAGGAAAAGCACCTTTGTTAGCATAATTTGTTTAATTTCCACGGGAAATATTTCAAATTTGGTTAGAATTGCTAATATAGGATGTCAGCTTGATGAATCCTGGCTGGCCTCCAGGGTCATATTGACTGAAATTTTTAAAATATTCTTCTAAACACCCAGATATAGTAGAATCAATTGCTTCTCATGGATGAAAGCATCTTAAGGTGCTTTACCAAAATCTTGTATTTCATAGCCCCAGGGTCTCACATTTTCCCCTGGTTTCCCCTTGGGGAAGGGTAAAGTTTACTCTGTTTTTTATTGTTAGTTTTGCATTTTGAGCATAACATTTTTTCCCCATTGGAAATAGCTTGATAAGAATTATAAGTATAGGACGACAGTTTTGATGGTATACATGTACTGACACTGACTGACCCCAAAGGGTTTAAAACATTATCATCAATGTCACAATTTCTTTTCCGTGCCACTTGAAAGCTACTTACCCTTTAATGTTTGTATCCAGTGTTGCTTATCTCAGGTGACCATCAAGGCTGCTTAGCCTCTTGTTATATTTAGTTATACAGCATGTGATGTGACTCTGTAGTAGAGATTGGCCCATTATTACAGGACATTAAAACAGGTTCTCTCTCAGAATGGAATTGATATAGATGATTTAAGGAATGGACTTTCTGGTTAATAAATGTGATGTTTTCAGAACACAGTATCACCAGGAGTGATATAAGGAAAGTAAACCCCATGTTCTACTTCTGTATGAAAGAATGAACTTGTTGTAGTTTCTAAAAATGTATACATGTGTGTCTTTAGACTGTCATTTGAGCACAAGGTCAGTTTTGATATTCTTTACTCTTTGACTTTGTTTTAGGGCTGTGACAGATGTCCGCAGTAGCCGGCGACCCACAGCTACGGATAGGACACAGTTTGACCGCAGAAGTTTTGCACAGTTACAGCTTAATGAACTGAATGAGAGGGACACTGGTAAGTAAAAACTAAAAGTCTCCATGTAAAATGAGAAAGTTTTCCTGTTATATATTTTTTGGTGTTAAAATGTCACACTATGCCTTCACTATGTACTGTTCAAAACTGATACATCTAATGACAGTAAACTCTAAACATTATATGATTCTCTCATGTCTTATCAGTTAACAGTCAAGACTATTTCGCTGAAGCATTGGTTGCAATGCAGCAAGGGAAATAGATTAGACCATTGACTCATATCAAAGTAATACAACAACTGATTTGCTAAACTCAATAGATATAATCCATTCATACTAAGAAAAATTGCCAGGTAATACATTTGTCTGGGTGTATGTAAGACATGTTGACAGGTTGAGAATGAGGAAAGCAGTCATCTATTTACAATAGCAGTTGTAAACTTCACTTCATTCTTAATTGTTTGAATCCTTTGGAGCATTGGAGGTTCTTTGTTGGTCAACATGTTTGATTATTGACAGACTTGTGATTTTTTTAGGAAGATTCTTGGGAAAATTGGTCTAAAATTCTTGTTTTAAATTTATACATAGAGCCTGGTAACAAATGAACAGTTCACAGTTGACAAAGTTGTCATGTGAAGGAGCACAGAAAAGTGGCCTTTATAGACAGTGGCCTCTTTATAGAGGTTCAGTTGCTATGAATGGTATTCTGTTATGTAAATCCTGAAGCCAATGGCTTTATAGACAGTTATTTGTTGGAGAGAAGTGACCTCTAAAGCAGATTTGAATGTTTTTAAAGCTATAAAATTGCAGATCGCTTGTCTAAGGTAAAAAAAAAAGTGTTTGTTATTGTGATCATAATAGGTCATATAGTGCTAAATTCCGCTATTGTATCTGATGTCAGTTTATAAGTTACCAATCAGTCAGGGTTTATTAAAAGACCAAGGTATGGATTGTAAGACACTTTCATACGCCGGGGTGTGGTTAGGGATATTCCATCTGCGGGGTCACAAAATGTCACAAAACCTGAGACTTTGCCGAGAGTTTTACCACATTTTGTGACCCCAAGGGTGAAATATCCCATCCTACACCTCAACTTATGTATGAGTATTTTTCTCTCAATTCTTGTTCTAAAATGTTTTGGGAAAAAAATAGCTGTAGACATTGACAATGTAATACAAAGGATGCCATATTACACAAAAATCATATTCTTTATTGGGCAATAAATTTAGAAATTGACATTGTAAACGAATTCTCCAGACCTAGATTTGGCAAACAAATTTACCATTAAAAATGTAAACAAAATATCAACAGTCACTGTAAATAGATATTTGCACAGAAATGTGTATACATTGTATCAGGCAATGATATCAATTGGGAAGGGACATGTCATATTTCTTTGCGTGCATGCCTGTATTGCATGGGTGGGTGTGTAATACAAAAACAGTAAACCTGGGTATATTGCCCTGGACAGGTCAGTATGTATATAATGAGACAAAAAATGATTTGAACTTACAGGGAATAAAAGATTAACTTAAAAAGGAAATTTGGACAAAAACAACCCCAGTTCCTGTTTCGGTATCCTTGTTTTACTGTATATGATTGTTAACCAAAATTTGTGCAAACAATATGGAAGGCTAGTAAGCTGATAATTTTTTTTTCATTGTCTGTCATTTGATAAAAATCCTTTTTTCTTTTTCCTCCATTTTATGTCAGATTAGATTTACTTAAAAGATATTCCTTATACTTTGTCTTTTTTTTTAAAATTTTTGGTGAATGAATTTTGAGAATCATTTCTGTAGTCTGGAAGTGACTTTAAAAGTTACAAAGCAAGGATCCTTTGAGGGATGATTTGTGAAATTATGATAATTGAAGCATAATGGTAAGTGACTATGATGTTTATATTTCAGGTTCATTAAGAGCAGAGTCTATAGCAGCATCTCGGGTGGAACAGACAATGTCTGAAGTAGCCTCTTCCTTAAATAGTACATTCCAGCCTCGTCCAGGCTCACAACAGACATGGCTTCTTCAGGCCCAAATATGGCTTCATCTAGGTAAGTGTTCCAGTGTGAGGTAGCTTTATCCTGAAACATTTCATTCGAGGGTTACAACGTGTATGTGTATGTTACTATTGTACTGTATGTTGATGTATCTGTTACAGCCGAGCTGTATCTGACACTTGACAAGATGTCCGAAGCTGAGGCCTGTGTCGTAGAGACCAGCACAATCTTCCCTCTCTCTCACCAGGTGGCATTCATGGTAAGTGGACATTATTTGCCATCTCAGTATTAATTTGGAAAATTGAAATAAATTACAATTTTTTGTAGATATTATTTTTATTGCATTCTAGATTTAAAGGAATGTAATGATTTTAATAGACTGTGTTATGTTTATTCTTTCACTGATCGCCTTCATTGTAATACACTTAACATGCTACCATAAATGAAATACTTTCCACTACATGGACTTTTACACTTGTCAATACAGAATATATGTTTCACTCATTATAAGCTGTATCAAAATTCTCCATCAGCTGTAAAGCAACCATTACATGAAAGAAATGTTACTAGATCTTACATTGTCTGCTTTTCCAAGTGTGATTAGATTTTTCATTTGAAGCTACAATTCATTTGAATATGAAGAACAGCATATTTTTATAAACATCCTAAAGTTTACTTTTATGGTTTATTCCTCTGTGTTGCAGAAAGGACGAGTTCTTGAACACAAACTTAAGTACACTGAAGCTAAACTGTGCTATGAGGATGCCATTTCTATTAACCCAGGCCACACAAAATCTCTACAACACCTGGTAAATATTTACTGAAGGTTTCAGTCCTGTAGTTAAAGGGAAGAGAAAGGAATTACTGTGTTAGCTGAGATGACAAGTAAACTAATAATAACAGCTGTTACACCTGTCGTAACAACCACCTGAAGCCTTAAGTTTACTCATTGACCTCTTTTTTGATAGGACTTACTGATTCCTTCCTATAATTTTTCCTGTCAGTGTCTGGCACTGAGTAACTTATAAAGGGATAATTTGGTGAATTTGCTTTATTTCACACCCATCCCCCCAACACCGCATTCGCAATGTAATATGTAGTGATCGCCTTGTTTGTGTGTCCTTTTATACATCTGTTCATACATGTGTGTGTCTCAGATTCTGAAGCAGCAAGAACCATGTGTACAAGATAGCTGATCAGGCTTAGTTTGTATTTATACCATAGCATTAAAAGTAGTCAAGGTAAAAGGTTCATAGGTCAGAATTAGCCCACAAATGTGCTTGCAAACAAGATATGTCAAGGAACCCCTCAAAAGCTTAATTCAAATTTACATCATAGAATCAGACAGACATTTTGGTTGTCATTTGTCAAGGTCAGCAGGGCAAAGGTCACATTTCACAGCTAAACCCCAAAGTCCTGATGATAAGAGAAGAGGATATATTAAAGTGAGGCTGAGTTTGAGTTTTGTTGCTGAAGAATCCTCTTTTTTTCCTTAGGGTATGGTGCTACATCAACTAGAGAATGACAAGATGGCTGAGAAAGTACTAAGAGATGCTGTCAACACTGACCCCATATCTCACGAGTCATGGTAATTATACAAAAATACATGTTATTAGTGTGAATGTCCAACGTTTATTTCTTTTCCATCAATAGTCATAAAAAAAGGTTGTTGGAGCAACCTTGTTCCTTCAGAATTTCTTAAAACATATAAAGTTAGTAAGTTAGGACACACAGGCTTCCTCAAACTGCGTTTTGCCAATTTTGTTAGGGCAGCCTCATTTCCGTCTGTGCAGTTTACTTGCCTTTCACTCATGGATACTGAATGTTTACAGTATATACACTTGTACACAAACAAGGCACTTGTTTATTTGTGAAATATATATCAGATTATATATAAAGTTGTAAAATATGGGTAGAGGTTGGGACCATACATTGTAGTAGTTTCAATCATTTGTTTAAAAATGACCATATAAGCACTGAGACATATACTTACCTGTAATTCTTGTGTATGTATTTTAGGTATCTCCTTGGCTTAGTTCTGGAGACACTTGGTCAGGACGATGCAGCTACTGACTGTCATACAACAGCATTAGCACTGGAGGCCAGCAGTCCAACTGTTCCATTTACTGTCATACCACGTCTCATGCAGTAATAAGAAATTCAATTTTAATTAACAACTTATGCAGAACTTTTGTAATCCTTCTTCATGTAAATGTGTTCAATTTCGGTTTAGGAATAAAAACTATCCAAAACATCCCATACTTAGGATTGGTCACAAGTCTGAATTCTCCTTACTTCTTGGGAATAATGAACAGGGGACCTTGACCTTTGTATTAAACAAAACAGTCTCCATCTTCATTTGGAATACAGTTGGATGACATGTTCACAAAATATACATTATTTTTATGCTGTCTTTTTTTCTAAATATCCAGGAAATAGTAAGATCATTTTGACAAAAGAATCATATTCTTAAAAATGAATATTGTTTCAAAACAAGAAAAAAAAAGTTTTTTATTTTACACAAGCATTTGTGATACTTGCTCGTAAAGGTGTTCAGTTTTTGATGAGATAGTGAAGGTACACAAATATAAAATGTAAAAGTTGCAAGTCACTCTAAAATCCTTAACTTTCCATTTTTTTTTTTATATATATATTTTCTTTTTCCTTTAACTCCGTTGAAATCTGTGAACTCGGATGTCTGCAAATTCACATGTATATTTTCTTAAAAAATTGACATAAGTTTTTGATGTTGATGGATATCAAGTCTGCGCCAAATTGAATTTTCTTAATTTTTTTTTAATAACAATGAGTTTGGAGCCTTAAGAAATTATGTGATTTTACAATTCTTATATCAAATCAGAAATATCCTTTTAAGTTTGTATACCATTTTAAGTTATCTCGAAATACTTCTGAATATTGAAAAAAAAAAAAAAAAAATTGTGATGTTATGCTGAAAAAGCATCATTCACAGCAAAATAAATCTCTAAGTGATCATGTTAATCCATATCAATACCATTCTCTGAGTGATCATGTTAATCCATATCAATACCATTCTCTGAATTTTTAAAAATATTCATGTTGTTTTGTTTGTGAAAATGTTAATCCTTTTCTGTTTCTACTCTTACTCATGGTAGTAGTTGGGACCAACTTGATGTAGCACAGGGTAGAATTATTTCAAAATTATTTAAAATTTACAGAAATCAGTTGTAGATATAGAACAGTAGATGTTGTAAATCTGAGATGTGGTAACAGTGTAATAGATATCACAGCCGTAATCAACGATCTTCCATTGTAGTTTATTATCTTGTCTCATTCATAAAAATTCACAATCATGGACAAAAAAGTTTGAGAAATGTTTGGTTGGTGATCTAAAAGGGAAGAGTTTTAATGTAATTAGCATAAACCAGTGTTACTCCTAATGATTTCAGATTTGTGAAGTCAAAAGTTTGATATTTCTATAATTAGAGAATTTATTGATCTATAAACCTAGGAAATTAAGTGATAGATTTATTGCAGACTTGAAAACTTTGAAAGTGTTACAATCATCAATGGATTCTACAACTGGTGCAATACAAGTGTTGTTGAGACTGTAAAGATGTCTGGTGTTATAATGTGATATGTAAATACATATACTGGTTATTAATTACAGTTATCTTGTGTTTTTGAATTAAACTTGTGACACATTTTTGAGGATTTGTGTTTTTTTTTCTGTGTAAACAGTCTGTCTCAAAAGATATACATCTCAAGATTTAACAGCGCTATGTATAGTTTTAAGATTTCCTGGTGCAAAGGGCCAAGTGAGGTATGCGGTCGTGCATTCAATCGTGTGTCATCTTTTCCATTTAAACAACTCCTTCTCAATAACCAACCAACCAAATATCATGGTATTTGGGTGATGGGTTGCTGGGATGAAGCCAAACAAAGTTTGTGACATTACATTCTTATTCAAGATCACAGTGTCAAATTTGTTGAAACCTTAAAACAATTTCTTCTGACTAACCAAAAGGCCTAGAGGCATAGGCCTAGTATTTGGCTGATATGATTTTAGGACGAAACTCGACAAAGTTTGCGAAAAGATATGCTCTTATTCAGGGTCACAAGGGTCAACTTCGTTATAGCCTTCAAACAATTTCTTCTGACTAACCAAAAGGCTTAAAAGCATGGAATTTGTCTGAGAGATTTGATGAAACCCGACATAGCTTTTGGAAAAAAAAAAACTGAACTTGAACCATATTAAAGGATATTTAGTGGAAAGGTGTTTCTAGATCAAACCCCGAAATTTTTCGCGGAAAAAAAAGAAATGACATTTAGCTTTAATCCAAATCATACCTGACACTGTATAGAGGTGAGTATTAGAAGCTGTTTGTTGTAGTAATTGGTTAAAGTTGATTGGGTGTCCTCGCTTTTACATCCGGGCCAACAAGAGTGATTAGTACAAGTTGAAATAACTTGTTTCGCAATTGCCGTGGAGAAGATAAAGTTTATATCCTATGTTTATTGAGCTTTAGCAATTATCCTGTATGCCATTTACTTCATTCTAAAATGATTCACATCTTATGTCTGTTGTAGCACTTGTCAAATTGTCATCAACAATACTTGGTCAATTGATATCAAGGACATATTCACTCTACAGTTGGACACATAAAGAGCGAAGTAAGTATCGATATTAATACAGGCATTCTCTTACCTCGGGCGGACAGTGTTATCAGAACTACTATAGTGTGTCTAGGTGAGATCGATAAAAAGTGAGGACTAAACTTTGGCTCACTTTTCCCTACCTTTAACTCTTCCTTCTTCCTTTTATCCGTTTTGATACTTCCTTTTTTGGGCATGTGTCGACCTTATTCTATGGCTACGGGTTTGTCCATAAGCTCTTACATTTTATACCGAGCTGATTACATTTGTACTTCGCTTGTTCTGCACTGAATTTTCCTACAGGCTGTTTCCTATTTCACCCGTCGCTGTATACAGCCCTGTCCCTGTAGACACAGCCCTGTTGCTGCAGACACAATCTTGTCGCTGTAGACATAATCCTGTCGTTGGAATCATATCCCTGTTGCTGTAAACACATATATATCGCTGAAGACACAGCCCTATCGTTGTAGACACAGTCCTGTCCTTGTAGATATAAACCTGTCAATGTAGACACAACCCTGTCGCTTTAGACAGCATTGTCCATGTAAACACACTTCTGTCGTTGTAGACAGCCCTGTCCATGTAGACACAGACCTGTCGTTGTAGACACAGCCCTGTCGCTGTAGACAGCCCTGGTCATGTAGACACAGACCTGTCGTTGTAAACATAACCTGTCGCTGTAGACAGCCCTGTCCATGTAGACACAGACCTGTCGTTGTAAACATAACCTGTCGCTGTAGACAGCTGTTATCTTATAACTTATATAACTGGGTGTGAGAACTCTAACCAGTGATAAACAAAGCAAAATATTCGCACATCCATGTTGGACAGATATCAGTTTGATAAATGTACTTGCAAATGACCAGAGTAGAAGCACGTAGATTTGTCATTTTGAATCGGAGAAGACAGTCAGACAAGTGTGAGCTCTCACTTATATAAACTGTATTTCTTGCCTTAATTACATACACATGTACATAACCCATAGCATTAAAAACACATTTTGCATTATGTTGGCTTAAATTGGTTATTACATTCGCACTTCTCAGCAGTATATAGTAAGGTAATGGACGGTATATCGTTACTTTCGGTAAATTGTCAGGGTCTCGGCGATAACAATAAAAGAAAAGATGTTTTTTCATACTTGAAATAAAAAAAATATTCAATCTACTGTCTGCAAGACACGCACTTCTCAGAAGAAAATCAAACTTTTGTTAGAAATCAGTGGGGTTTTGAATGTTTTTTTAGCTCTTTCAGGTCCAGTTCAAGAGGGGTAGCTATTTTATTTAATAACAATTTTGAATATAAGGTTAAGAGGGAAAAGAAGGACCAATCGAGAAATTTTTTAGCATTAGATATTGTTATGGAGGGGTCAGATATTACACTTATTACACTGTATGGTCCAAACACTGACTCGCCACTTTTTTATGATACTTTAATTAATACATTAGATGAATTTGGGAATGACAAATATATTGTTTGTGGTGATTTTAATTTAGTTCTTAATCCGGATCTTGCTTATGATAGTAGTTATAAAAATATTAATAATTCAAAGGCCAGAGAAAAGGTTTTAGAAATCATTGAAAATTATTCTTTAGTAGATATTTATAGGGAAGTAAATCCAGATAGTAAAAGATACACATGGAGGAAAAAAAATCCTCTGAAGCAATCAAGGTTAGATTTTTTTCTTATCTCTGAAAACTTATTATCTAGTGTAAATAAGTCTTGCATTGAGCCGAGTTACAGATCAGACCACTCTTTTCCATTTCTTAATCTAAAATTTAATGAATTTAAACGTGGTAGAGGATTTTGGAAATTCAATTCTTCTTTATTGTATGATGAAGATTATTTAAAACTAATAAAACAGACCATCTTGGAAATAAAAACACAATATTGTCTTCCTATTTATAATCATAATAATATAGAGAATATCCCAGATACAGACTTACAGTTCATGATTGATGACCAGCTTTTTCTAGAAACTTTATTGATGGAAATCAGGGGCAAAACAATTTCATATTCATCTCACAGAAAAAAACAACAAAATATGGCTGAAAAAAGTATAAGAAATGAAATACAAAACATTGAAGATCAAGACCATGTAGATACAGAGAAATTAGAGCATTTGAACAAGGAATTAGAAAAAATAAGATTAGATAGGATTAAAGGTAGCATTGTTAGATCTAGAGCGAGATGGCAAGAGGAAGGAGAAAAACCAACAAAATATTTTTTCAATCTAGAAAACAGAAATTTTACCTCCAAAATTATACCCAAGTTAGAAACAGAGGATAAGGGCACATTAACTGGACAAGATGAAATTCTTGAAGAAGTACGGTCATTTTACAAAAAATTATATGATGATAATAGAAGTGTAGAAGACGTCAATTTAAATGATCTCTTAAATAGTTGTAATGTTTTGAAATTAGACAACGCTGTTTCAGAAAGTTTAGAAGGGCAAATTACTTTGGAGGAAGCAAAAATTAATTTGAAGTGTATGAAAAATAATAAAAGCCCAGGTACGGATGGTTTTACTGTCGAGTTTTAATTTGGGTTATGAAAAAGGGAGGTTATCGGTAACACAAAGGCAGGGGGTTATAGTATGTATTCCAAAGGGAGATAAGTCTAGACAATTTCTTAAGAATTGGCGACCAATTACATTGTTGTATATAGTATATAAAATTGCATCAGGAACCATAGCTAGAAGAATTAAGAAAGTTTTAGACTCATTAATTAGTGAGGATCAGTCAGGTTTTATCTCAGGTCGTTATATTGGGGAGAACACAAGATTAATATATGACATTATGCAACATGTAGAGGAAAAAAATATTCCCGGAATGCTGTTAATGATAGATTTTGAGAAAGCATTTGATTCCGTTTCATGGAAATTTATTGACAAGGTTTTCAAATTCTTTAATTTTGGTCCAGATATTCGTAAATGGATAAAAGTTTTTCATACTAATGTCAGTGCTTTTGTTAATCAAGGTGGTAATGTATCTTCATCCATCAATATAAGAAGGGGCTGTCGACAAGGTGATCCAATCGCGCCATATAACTTTATTATCTGTGTTGAAATTTTGGCCATTAAACTAAAACATAACAAAAACATTAAGGGTACAAACATCAGTAATATTCCAATTCTTATCTCACAATATGCAGACGACACCTCTCTTATATTAGATGGCTCTGAAATATCATTAAAAGAATCTATTTTAGAATTGAATGCTTTCGCAAAATTCTCTGGTTTGAATCTAAATATTGACAAAACACAAGTGATCTGGATAGGAAGTAAAAAATATAGTGAAGATACTTTGTTACCTGACTTGAAATTACAGTGGGGAAAGGTCAAATTCACGCTTCTTGGAATTGAATTCAGTGTCAATCTTCATGAAATTCCAAAATTAAACTATGATAAAAAATTAATTAAATTGAAATCTATCATTAAGATGTGGAATAGGAGATCACTGACTCCTATTGGGAAAATTCATCTTATTAAATCTTTAATGATATCACAGTTTAACCATTTATTTATGTCTTTGCCAAACCCAGACAACCAGTTCTTGAATAAGCTCAATTCCATCCTTTTTAGCTTTTTATGGAACAGTAAAACTGACAAGGTAAAGAGAGATATTGTTACCCAGAATTTTGATAACGGTGGACTTAAAATGGTAGATATAAAGTTGTTTATAGATAGTCTGAAATTAGGCTGGATTAGAAGATTACACCAGAAATCTGCTAAATGGCAAGCAATTCTTCAAACATATATTGACCTACATATGCTATCTTCCTGTGGAAGTGATTACATTCAGAAATGTTGTAATATCTGTAGAAATAATTTCTGGAGTGATGTTTTCAAAGCCCTGTTGAGGTTCAGTGAAAGGGTGGGGGTAGAATATGTTAAGAAAAATATTTGGAAAACTCCTTTATGGTATAATAAAGATTTGTTGATAGGGAAGACAAGTATATTCTACAAGACATGGTATGATAAGGGAGTGATGATAGTTAATGATTTATTCAAAGATTTTTCTACTGGCACTTTCTACACTTTTCAAGATTTTAAGCAAATTTATAATGTAAATTCAAATTTCCTTGAATACCATGGTGTAGTCTCTGTGGTTAAGTCATATTTAGCTAGATCTGACTTTGTAAGAACATGTACCTCTCAAGTTTTTCCAACCATTCCAAGTAGTATTGAGTGTTTTGTAAAAAAAGGAAATGGGTCAAAAGATATATATAATCTTTTAGTAAAAAACGATATAATTTCTACTGAGAGGAAAAGATGGGAAGAAATATTAGAATTTGACGTTCTAAATTGGAGGGATATTTATAAAAATTGTGTTCGTGCAACAAAAAATACAAAACTTCAATGGTTTCAGTACAGAGTGGTTCAACACATCTTAACAACAAATTTATACATGTTTAAAATTCGACTACTGAATAACCCACACTGTACATTCTGTAACTTAGAAAAGGAGACAATTATTCATATTATGTGGGAATGTCCAGAAGTTCAAAAATTTTTAGAAAGTGTAGAAGTTTTGCTGGAGGCTCTTTTTATTCCATTTTCCTTCAATAAAATAAGTTTTCTGTTTGGTTTCATTGCTAATAAAAATCAGTTAATCAGTAGCAAACTTGACAATGAAATCTTAATTATCATTAAATATTACATATATAAGGCAAGATGTCAACACAAAGCCTTAAGTGTATATAGTCTTATTTATTCAGTCAGGGAATTTTATACCTTTCAGAAATATATTGCCAATAGTAAAGGTGAACAGGCACAGTTAAGTTTTAATGAGGAATGGAGAAAATGGAGAAAATTATTGGAATTGGCCAATTCTTAACTTTAAATACATTTACTGTCATGTAGTATGTTTTACCATATTTTAGTATTCTCTGTCTTTACAGTATAGCAGGCCCCTTGCTTACCCTTATAGTATTTATTTATTTATTTATTTATTTATTTATTTATTTATTTACCAGGTATTTTTCTTTATACTCGAGTCCCTATTGTTTCGCTGATTATTGCAATTTTTACTAACCCAGATCACCTCTCTCTCTCTCCCCCCCCTCTCTCTCTCTCTCTCTCTCTCTCTCTTTCTCTCTTTTTCTCTCCTCTTTATCTTTATGTGTAGTATTGATGTATGTGTAGGAGTGGGTGTGTAAGGGTAGTGTTATGATGTTAGTAAGGGTGTTGATGAAAATGCCAGGCGATGATGTATGGATGGATTTCAAGTTATAATGACAAATTGTGTTGATAGTTAGGTTGATGATGAGGTGCATATGTGATAATGAATGCTGAGGATGAATCTATTGACATGAAGGTGGTGACAAAGGCATATTGAATATGACAATGATGAAGAATGTATTGACATGATTACTTGATTGAGATCATGATGACTGATGATTATGATGAGGAGGTAATGTTTATAATGAGGAGGATAATGATGATGAGGTAATGTTTATAATGAAGAAGATAATGATGATGGTGATGTTTATGATGATGATGATGATGATGATGATGATGATGATGACGATGATGATGATGATGATGTTTCTTTTTCTTCTGATGATGATGATGATTATGATGATGGTGTTTGTGATGATTATGATGATGATGATGATGATGTTGATGACGACGACGATGATGATGATGATGATGATGATGATGATGATGATGATGATGATGATACAACTTAATCGAGATTATGGTGATGTGTGAGTGAGCATATTGTATGTTGTATGTTTGATGTTTTGTTGATGTAATTGTTATGTACATTAAAAACTCTTGAAAAATAAAAAAATAATAAAAAAAACACATTTGAATCGGATTCAGAAACAAGTTTTGTAACTTATGTAAATGTGCCTCCATTAGCAACACGTTAATTTGTAGGACGGCATCAAATGGGTAAGTACATGTGTGAAAAACTGGAAGTAGAAGGAATGGACGTGATAGATATGAAGAGAAAGAAGTGAAAAGAATACAGGAAAAAAATAGCCTGTGTCATGACATAATGTAAACGAGAAATACACGTGTTATAACATCTGTGTATTTTAGTTCTCACTCAGTAATTGAAAAGATTCAAGCATCATTTCCTTTACGTAAATAATTTGAAATTACAATAGTTCTAATATAAGATTGATCACCATTATGTATCCTAGCAACATATTCAAATTATTCCTAGTTAGTGTAACTGTAGGAATAGTAACATAAAAAATGGAAATTTAAAAAAATTGGCATAAAAATTCATCATTTCCTTTACGTAAATAATTTGAAATTACAATAGTTCTAATATAAGATTGATCACCATTATGTATCCAAGCAACATATTCAAATTATTCCTAGTTAGTGTAACAGTAGGAATAGTAACATAAAAAAATGGAAATTAAAAAAAATTGGCATAAAAATTCAGGAAACTTGTCAGATTCGTTTCCACCCATTATTGAAAAGAAAATACAACATGTGAATAGATTACAACAAAATCGTTATCACCGAAATGCGGCCATTTTGGTTTCTGACAGTAGTAGTTTGTTATGGATATTTGTTGGGTCAATATTAAATTTCATATGACGTTGTCCTTAATTCCCTGCTGTGTATTGTTTATTTTAGGACTCAACGGGAAAATGACCAACAAATGCCCATCTTGAACCTTGACGGTTATCATTTGTTATATAGGTTGTCCTTGGTCTTTTGTTTTGCATTATCCATTTAGGGGCAGTCTGCCGTCTCGGATTTCACATAGCCAGATCACACTGACGTTCATCAGTAAGGCGATACCAGGCAACAGGAGGAGTCATGGAGACGGAAAATCAAACAATCAATCAATCAATCAATCAATCAATCAATCAATCGATCAATTAATCAATCAATCAATCTCGGATATCGTTAAGATTTTCAATGGCTGTTTCTTGATAAGTACTAGATGGATCACTCTCAATTGTCATGTGTGTGTTGCCTTATGTTCCCATTGATGCATTTTACATTTTGAAAATGATCAGAAAATCAAATTACCCGAAAATGTTGGATTTTGAGTGCCGATACTGTCGTAGAGAAAAACAATTCGATTGATCGTTCTCAGATGTCATATGTAGGTTTCCCTTGGTCCCTTGATGTACCTTGTCCATTTTACCCGACAGCAAAGACGTAATGGCCGATAGACAGCTCTCTTCTATGATGCCAATTCAATTAATTATTGCTATTTATGTACTGTTGTTTATTTATGCTACAACATCATATGTAGTATTGACAGGTGAATCAATACATGACTAATTATTCTTTTATGAACATATCACGCGCATGTAATTAAGAGCGATACAAAGGCAAGAATAGAAGGGGAAATATCCAACTATTACAAAGAAATAATAGAGACCATGCACTGACGTCAAGATCACTCTGGTATCCGGCTTGTTGTGTAAGATATTAATGATAATGTAGTAATGTATTCGTGTGTCAGTGCGTTCACATGTTGTATTTATTTCAACTCAATATCTCTACCTGTCAAAGAGTATAGACAGAAAACAAACAATACCGGTCAGGAACACTGTAGGTTTATCCCCAGCGAAGGCATAACGTTAACTTATCTAAATATTTACATAAAGAAACAACATGGTTCCATTGTTGTATTTGAACTTCAAATTAATCTTATCTGCTGACGCACGTTCTATAAAGTACTTAAAGGAAAACAGACTTAATAAGATACCTTACTCAAACAAGTATAGTAGTGTTGCGTATTAGATATATCACTATTATGTACCGAATGCTATTTCTGTGACAACTCTCTTTGTGCCGCAAAGAAACTATTGACATAGAGGCTATAGTATCGAATGTTATTGTCTACGTATCGGAAAACTTTAATTCAATTCAATAACATTGATCTTGCGTAATTACACTGCTGTCATATAGCCTGACACATATTGTGAAACTTCCAAACCATTGGTGTTGTATTGGTTCTTTGGACAACCTTGGAGAAGGGTTCAACCCTGATTTTCATTTCATTGCACTGCCGACACTGGTCATTTGATTTTTCTATCAGGAGTGCTGGCGAAGCATGTCGTTTCTTACTTTGTTTTGCTATTGTGTTTTGCTTTCATTTACTGCAACAAGTAGCGCAGGTTCTCTCAGTGACGCATATAATGTATTTGCCAACGTGTCTGCTGGGTATAACAAAGAACTCCGACCGATTCTCGATCAATTCAAGAATGTTTCTGTAAGCATCGAAATGTTCCTCATCTCCATCAAGAATTTTGATGAGGTTTCCGGAACTTTAAATGTTGTTGCCGTCTTCACTATTACTTGGCGCGACGAATCGTTGTTGTGGGATCCATCTCTCTTCGGTTGGTTGTATAATATCAACATTGGACAAAATAATATATGGCTCCCTAAACTTTATAACATCAAAGTGTCGAACTCATTTAGTGCTCTTAGCGACAATGACTTAAAGGTGAGAATTCAGCATGACGGTTCGATCGTATGGCAACCGGGTGGTTTGATCGACGTCAAATGTAGCCCGGATGTAATGTATTTTCCATTTGATACTCAAAGCTGTTCGATACAACTTGCTCCATGGGGCTACGTGAGGAGCGAAGTAGATCTTAAGCCAGCGAAAAGTGAACTGACATTAGATTTCTATGAAACAAATGGCGAGTGGTCTTTGGAGAAAACAACAACTGGGACGTACGTTCTCAGCGATATAAGTCTAGCGACTTTCAATATAACGATTGCACGACTTCCAGCCTTCCATATCGTCAACACTCTCATGCCGATCTTTCTTTTGATGTTCATGAACCCACTGGTGTTTGTGTTGCCCTGCGACTCCGGAGAACGCGTGGGATTTAGTTTGACCGTGTTTCTCACCTTTACAGTATTTATCACCATCGTCAACAGCGTTCTTCCTGCAAACTCGGAAAGTATGTCCAGATTATCATATTTTATCTTCGTCGTGCTCGTCGTCAGTGGAATTATCGCCTCTATCAACATCTTCCAGCTGAAAATGTACTTCAAAGATGAAAGTGAAAAATTACCACGTTGGTTTGCCAGGCTCCTTCGTATTTTGGACTGCCGGTTAAAATCAAGTAATGACGAAGTGAAATCCTTTTGTCCCGAAAATCCAGATTCGAAATCGGTTCCAGATCCAAATAAAAAGAGACGGAAACCTGTTGTAATCAGAGAACCATCAGTAGTCGAAGCAGTTCCGGAAATGACGTGGAAAGATGCAGTTCGAATTATGGATAAGTTTTTCACGTGGTTTTTCTACATTGCCATATCAGTATCAAGCATTGCTATACTAGTCAGTATGTCTCAAGGTAACAAGTGAACTGGACATGTATCACTCACCAGATTTACTTTATAATCATACATTTTTGTGAAGTTCAAATTTCACGGGATTAAAAAAAATCAGTTGTATTTAATTTCGTGAATAAATATTCCTCACGAAATACTGTTTTTAAATGCCATGTTACTTTAAATCGTTTCTCATTTCGTGGACACATTAATGCGTGAATGTACAGGCGAAATGGCGCAAATAAAATGCCCACGAAAATTAATGATTTTAAAGTACTCTTATCAATTGCAATTGCCAGTGACAACTGTCGGTATACGTCCTGTCCATTTGCAACAGATGAAAATGAACGACAAGAGAGTATGTAGTAATATTCCGTACCTTTTCTTTGTATTCTTAGTGATATTTACACGATATTGAACAATGCGAATTATTCAAACAAATAATCAATATAATTTCTACAATAACGGTAAATAGATACCTGTGTCATATTCATAGCGGAACAAATCGGTACTAGGGTGAGGTCAGTATGGTTTATACATTTAATAGTTGGATTGTTTGAAAATATATTTATCAATGGCACTACAAAGCGTAATAAAACTAAATGGACTTGTGAAAAAATTGCGACATGTTCATTAAAGATATCTAAAAGAAAAAAAAATGTTTGTGTTTTATCGAACCTAATGCAACTTTCAGTTATGAATTAATTTATGTCAGTGGTTTCAAACCTTTGTTACCTTCAAGTTCATTTTGTCGTGTACTGTAAACGTGGAAATTTAAACAAGGGGGAATTAACATTAATTACGCAAAGGTCGTTAGATCGCGAAAATTTCCCCGCGCGTAATATTTTGTGATACTTCTTGCTGTATGTTACATACCCTGTAATCAGTAGAGACCCTTCTCGTTGTATGTTACATATCCTGTACTCAGCAGAGACCCTTCTCGCTGTATGATATATACCCTGTAATCAGCAGAGACCCTTCTCGCTGTATGTTACATACCCTGTAATCAGTAGAGACCCTTCTCGCTGTATGTTATATACCCTGTAATCAGTAGAGAGACCCTTCTCGCTGTATGTTATATACCCTGTAATCAGTAGAGAGACCCTTCTCGCTGTATGTTATGTACCCTGTAATCAGTAGAGAGACCCTTCTCGCTGTATGTTATAGACCCTGTAATCAGCAGAGACCCTTCTCGCTGTATGTTATATACCCTGTAATCAGTAGAGAGACCCTTCTCGCTGTATGTTATATACCCTGTAATCAGTAGAGACCCTTCTCGCTGTATGTTATATACCCTGTAATCAGTAGAGACCCTTCTCGCTGTATGTTATATACCCTGTAATCAGTAGAGACCCTTCTCACTGCATGTTATGTACCCTGTAATCAGTAGAGAGACCCTTCTCGCTGTATGTTATGTACCCTGTAATCAGTAGAGAGACCCTTCTCGCTGTATGTTATGTACCCTGTAATCAGTAGAGAGACCCTTCTCGCTGTATGTTATATACCCTGTAATCAGTTGAGAGACCCTTCTCGCTGTATGTTATATACCCTGTAATCAGTAGAGAGACCCTTCTCGCTGTATGTTATATACCCTGTAATCAGTAGAGAGACCCTTCTCGCTGTATGTTATAGACCCTGTAATCAGTAGAGAGACCCTTCTCGCTGTATGTTATATACCCCGTAATCAGTAGAGAGACCCTTCTCGCTGTTATGACCCTGTAATCTGTTATACCCTGTAATGTAATCGCTGTATGTTATATACCCTGTAATCAGTAGAGAGACCCTTCTCGCTGTATGTTATATACCCTGTAATCAGTAGAGAGACCCTTCTCGCTGTTACCCTTCTGCTGTATGTTATATACCCTGTAATCAGTAGAGAGACCCTTCTCGCTGTATGTTATATACCCTGTAATCAGTAGAGAGACCCTTCTCGCTGTATGTTATATACCCTGTAATCAGTAGAGAGACCCTTCTCGCTGTATGTTATATACCCTGTAATCTGTAGAGAGACCCTTCTCGCTGTATGTTATATACCCTGTAATCAGTAGAGAGACCCTTCTCGCTGTATGTTATGTACCCTGTAATCAGTAGAGAGACCCTTCTCGCTGTATGTTATGTACCCTGTAATCAGTAGAGAGACCCTTCTCGCTGTATGTTATATACCCTGTAATCAGTAGAGAGACCCTTCTCGCTGTATGTTATAGACCCTGTAATCAGTTGAGAGACCCTTCTCGCTGTATGTTATAGACCCTGTAATCAGCAGAGAGACCCTTCTCGCTGTATGTTAGATACCCTGTAATCAGTAGAGAGACCCTTCTCGCTGTATGTTATATACCCTGTAATCAGTAGAGAGACCCTTCTCGCTGTATGTTATGTACCCTGTAATCAGTAGAGAGACCCTTCTCGCTGTATGTTATGTACCCTGTAATCAGTAGAGAGACCCTTCTCGCTGTATGTTATATACCCTGTAATCAGTAGAGAGACCCTTCTCGCTGTATGTTATATACCCTGTAATCAGTAGAGAGACCCTTCTCGCTGTATGTTATATACCCTGTAATCAGTAGAGAGTCCCTTCTCGCTGTATGTTATATACCCCGTAATCAGTAGAGAGACCCTTCTCGCTGTATGTTATAGACCCTGTAATCAGTTGAGAGACCCTTCTCGCTGTATGTTATAGACCCTGTAATCAGTAGAGAGACCCTTCTCGCTGTATGTTATAGACCCTGTAATCAGTAGAGAGACCCTTCTCGCTGTATGTTATATACCCTGTAATCAGTAGAGAGTCCCTTCTCGCTGTATGTTATAGACCCTGTAATCAGTTGAGAGACCCTTCTCGCTGTATGTTATATACCCTGTAATCAGTTGAGAGACCCTTCTCGCTGTATGTTATATACCCTGTAATCAGTAGAGAGACCCTTCTCGCTGTATGTTATATACCCTGTAATCAGTAGAGAGACCCTTCTCGCTGTATGTTATATACCCTGTAATCAGTAGAGAGACCCTTCTCGCTGTATGTTATAGACCCTGTAATCAGTAGAGAGACCCTTCTCGCTGTATGTTATAGACCCTGTAATCAGTAGAGAAAATAAATGAATAAATCAATATATCTAAATCTATATTCGTGTTTGTGGGAGATCTGTGTCCTTGCTTCAGTAATAATTTTAAATATTAAATTAATAAATCAATATTAAATTTTGTTTTCGTGTTTGTGGGAGATCTGTGTCCTTAATAATAATAATAATAATAATTTAAGACTTAACCAAATGAAACAGACACGATTTGATAAACCTACTTAGTTCACTCTGTCTATTTGTTAAATTTCCTTTAAAAAAATAAACAAAAACAAAAAACAAATAATAGACAAAGGAACAAAAAATGTGATGAAAGTCGTCTTTAATAATAATAGTAACAATAATAAATATGGAAGAATGCACATTTTTGTCTTCTGGTGAGTGTGTGCCACAAGACTTTCATATGCTTATAACTGAAGAATAAGTAATTATATACAGTTTAAATGCCATTAAAACACACGGAATGCTTGTAAAAATCTATTTCTTGATATATCCAGTACCACGGAATAATTGTGTAATGATAATTCCTGGAGCAACAACACAGTTACCAATATCGAACTGAGAGAAAGCTATTACTTTAACGACACGCCATGAACTAACGGTATATTTGTGGTGTTTTTATAGAATCGATATGTAACTTAACCCACGAAATTTCCCCATTAGATTGGTGTAAGAGTTCTTCTAAAAGGTATCTTTATAGCAGTCTCTTTTTCCTGACAGGGCTTTTTATGCTGATATCATTTATGAAAAACGCATTAACTGGACATTAATTTCCAGGACAACATATGAATGCAGCTTGAAGAAAATTGCCGGGTAATAAAACACTCAAAAATACCATGATTTTTCTCTAATGATCAATAATTCGATTATTAATTCTGATTAATAAGTGGAAAATGATATTTGTATGACACGATATAACCATGAACTGGCAGTGTATTTGTGATCAATGGTGAATCAATTTGTGAATTCCTCCTCCTTCAAACAACAACATAATGATCCTTACTGTGGAAACATTTGTTAAAATAGACACCGAGATGAGAGGAAGATGAAATCGTGTTGAAAGTTTCCACGGATCCTGTAATCACACAACCCCACAATTACACATGGTTTAGCCACATCAGTATAATAACTGTTCTTATACCGTTGATAACACGAAATTTTGAGCTGATCTTGTGAAATTGAGCATGCCTTTGTATCCGAATTAAATAACCTACTGACATAGAATTGAGTAAAATAGTATTCCAAATTCACTAAGCTAACATAGATTGTTTGATAATTCTCTCTCCTTTCCAACTTGTTTGTTTTTGTTTTTTTGCTATACATTTATTTATTTGAGAGAGAGAGAGAGAGAGAGAGAGAGAGAGAGAGAGAGAGAGAGAGAGAGAGAGAGAGAGAGAGAGAGAGAGAGAGAGAGAGAGAGAGAGAGAGAGAGAGGAGAGAGAGAGAGAGAGAGAGAGAGAGAGAGAGAGAGAGAGAGAGAGAGAGAGAGAGAGAGAGAGAGAGACAGAGAGAGAGAGACAGAGAGAGAGAGAGAGAGAGAGAGAGAGGGAGAGGGAGAGAGAGAGAGAGAGAGAGGGAGAGAGAGAGAGAGAGAGGGGGGGGGGAGGGAGAGAGAGAGAGAGTATTCTTTGTTGTTTTGGATAAAAATTGAATTTTTGAAAATTGAATTTACTGTTAATTATGTTCCGGGGGGGGGGGGGGGGGGGTAATATTCTATATTTCATCTCGGACATTATTACTCTTAAAAGATACTTTATGCATATGTTTAACAATTGCTGTTGTTAGCTTTCAAGAAACAGAAAGAGACAAGTAAATCTGCAACAAAAAGATATTCAAGAGACATCTGTTTTAAGGTGTCCCGGTGTTTGTGATTAATGGCTACAATTATACAGGTGAATGTCTCATCATTCCAGTACACCGATATTATTTCAATCAGGACGAGAGAAACAATAACTGCTCAACT